CTGTTTAGGATATTTTGAATAGATCCATATATTTGTTGTCAAGTATAGATCTTTCTGATTCATAGCTCGTGATGTAACTTCGTCCAGAACTCCGCTGGTAATAAAATTCCATTTAATTTTTAAAATTGTTTTTCGTAACAATGCTCGTTAACAACTATAAATTTAATGCGTTAAGACATCATAGAGGTAGCACCGTTTGGTGAACATTCACCCTGGAAACTATGTTGTATCGGTCAAGATTATTATTATTATTTTTTTTTACAGGGTGCGTAGTCAAATCTTTCAAGAAAAAATAAGCACCTTTTAAACTCTCAAAATTATTTGTAAGCAAATTAAAAAAATATAATTAGGTAGTGCTAACAAGTTTTGACAATTGTCAAAACTCACGAAATTTTGAATCATGTAAAACGACAGGCATTTTCATACGTTACGGACCGACGGCATGCCGAAAAATAGATTGAGCTTGAATTAATTGTGAAAATGTTGAATAGAACAATGCGAACAGTGTCTTTTTGCATAATTCGTGGCAAAAATCAACATGGTAAAGGAAAAATCTTATTTTCGAAAAAGGAAATTTAAGCACTTTTTAAAAACTCCCAATGAAAAAAAAGCACCTCTAAATGCTTTTAAAAAATAAAAATTGGAGGAAAGCACCTTTAAGCACTTTTTAAAAACGCTACGTACCGTGTTTTGAAAGAAAAATATTTTCATTTTAGTTCATTAAGTTCATTTTAGAGTGATAGAGTGATAGCGCACATTTTTATTAATACACGCAACATCTGAAGTCAGCTATATTTGTTTACTTACTAATGATAGAAAATAGTTCTGGAATGTTTGAATTCACTTGTCTTTTCCACAACTAAAATCGATGATCAAAGGTTTATGAGGAAAAGCATTGCGCAAAAATAAGAATTGAAATTTCGAACTCCGTTAATATAAAATTATAAGATTTCTCAATATGTATTCATTTTAATTACTTTAAGTTTTATATTGAAAATTAAGAAATTAGAGTTTTAATTGCATAACTTTTTATTAAAAATAGAGATGTAAATTAACTTATCAACCAAGGTAGGGTTTACTTTAGCAGGGCGTTACTAATAGCGAGGTAACTAGTGCATGCAATCCAATTTTGGAGCCCATTTACAAAATGATCTAACTATTTTTATGCATTTCAAACTATTTTTATATTTTTTAAGCAAAAAAAAAAATGTTTCATAATATCTAGTAAACTAGTGGATAAATTTATATATTTTCCTTTGCCGGTTGTAAACGAAAACCCATATAATTCACGTGTGAGCTACAGTTAGTTAATAACTCTCATAAAAATTATTTTTCAATAAAATTTTGCAAACTTTTAATACTCTCATAAAAAGTTTTTTTCAATAAAATTTTGCAAACTTTTAATTTGTAATCCTGAGAAAAGCAATTGATGATTTGTATTAGTGCCCTTATCTAAAATGGATTTGGTACCTCTTTAAGGCCGCGAAAACGAAGATTGTTAGCTGCTATAAATACGCATAAAAAATAAATAAAAAGCTAATTACCTCGAAAATATTTCATGTTACGAATATGAAATATTTAATCATATGAATTAGTTCTCGGTGTATGCATATGCTGAAAAGGAACTAAATTCTTTATTCGTGAATTAAATTCTTGAACTATTTTGTTCTGAATTGAGAAGCTCGTTGAGAAATACTTACGGAACTTTTAACAAATGCAGATTCTTTTCATAATTTATACAATATATTGTTCTTCAATTTTAAAAAAAAAAAAAAAATTGTGTCACTTTTTTTTTCATTGCCATTTTACATAAATAATTTCATAATTACGACCGAAATATTAAATAAATTCTGAGTTATTGATTGGATATAAATGTAATTAAATTAATTAAAATAATTGAAAAACAAATCGTGACTCTTGGATCCAGGGTGAAGTGAGATTCCAGGGAATTTTAAGATTCTGCGGATTATCTTTCGAGAACCACCCTATGTGATTGCCCCTTTTACCCTGTATGTGGGGATTAAAAGGAACAGATTACTATGTAGATAATGTCACTAATTCTTTGCATTCAAATCTGAACGTCGCGTGGAGTTGACAGGCGATTTCTAATTGCGTTTTAGCCTTGGCGCAGTTATATAATAGGCTAGACTCCAGACCGAATTTAAAATGATTATACAACTTCACGTTATCCAATAAGGGTTTTAAAATGACTCAATCTGAAATAGTACATAGTTTAATTTTTATTTTTCATGTAGTCATCACATTGTTAGAGTAATAAATAATACGTAGGATTTCATAATTTTGAATTTATAATACATTTATTAATTTACAAGTTTAATAATTTGATAATAAATAATATCGAATTTGAATTTTGATAATTATTTATCGAAGAGAATTATTAGATATGAATTGCGATCGTATTGGGGCAATTCAAACCAATTTATTTTTTGTCCGAAGGTAAAATTTTTATATTCAAACAAATCCTTAATAATTCTTTCCAGATCATAAATGCGAGCATTTCACATTGGGTACAATTTAAAATAGAATTTTAAGCAAGGTTGCCAACATTCTACATTTTTTTTGGGGGGGGGAGAATTTCTTATAAGTTGTTTATGGTTTAATGTATGGTTTTTTTGTTTTGTAAATTTGATTTGAAGTTATTTTCGAAGCCACAATATGTAAATAATTCAAAAGTTCCTATAAAACGTAACTTTGTCCCAGATCTTTCAAGGCGGGGCTTTTAAAATGTTAGCAAAAATACTAAAATTCTGAAAACTTTAGTTTTTAATTGTCTGCCATTTTGCAAAAAGCTTGTCGCGGAGAGAATTCCAAATAATTATGAATGTTTTTTTCTCCCTAAAATCCGTGAATTTTTCGAAATGCTTTGATATGCTCGAAAATAGTTAAAAATGTGATATTATTTTAATTATTATTATTTTTTAAATTTCTTACTTATATTTTAAGAGCAATTAATACTTTTCTGAAGTTTAAAAATTAAAATTATATTGTTTGATCGATAAAAAAATTAAGCAAAATGGCAAGAAATTAGTTCAAATCCTATTATGCAAAGCGGCCTTTCTATCCCTTGTATGACAAATTAATAAGGATATCACGTCTTCCTTAACTGCAATTTTATAACCGTCGTTGCACAGCCGAACCAATTCTTGGGTTTACTACTGCTATGTAAACTTGCAATTTTGAACCCAATCCAGAAGACAAGGGAACTCCTGGATCAAGTATTGGGAGAAATTTACCTCCGTGGATGACTTTTTTGATGGAACTGAAGTAACCCGCATTTGCGATTGCGTAGAGAAAGACCAAGAGAACATTCCACGGTTAGCCCGACGACAAAGGGACTCTAACCCATGATCCGTCTACCACTGAGGATATTTCACGTCAGCACTGTGGTCGGTGCAAGCCGGATGCGGAATGCGTATTGACCAGCCATTGTCGGGATTCGAACCCGGTTCACCCCAATGGAAGGCAACGAAGGAACTAAACCTTGAGCCATTGTGGCTCTCCTTAACTGCAATTAGAATAAAAATGGAAGAGAAAGTTCAGTTAGCCTCTTCTTTAGCAAGAAGATTTTCAGACTTTTTAAAATTTTTTTATATCATACACCAGAACAGATGGTGGGTCCACCATCAGTCTATGATGGGCAGCCCAATACAGTTCAAAAACACAAATAAAAGGATTAAAATTCTTTGCAGCATTTACAGCTACTATGTCAGTAAGTCTAAATTGAATTTTGACAAAAGCAATTTAGGTGATCATTGCTCATGTCAGACTCAGTCAGGCAGAGTGGGCAAATCAAAGAGCCTGCCAATCCAATTTTATGAAGGTGCGTCCTAAGGTAATCATGCCCGGTCAATATCCTGAAGTTAGCTACCCCCACCCATCTGGGCAGATTATATGGTACGGGATTATCCAACAAGGAATCCCAGGTCTTCCCATTGGATAGGTTGGTAATAGTTTCATGATAACTGGTTGAAGAACGTTAGGTCCAGCTTTAGCAAGCGAATCAGCAAACTCGTTCCCTATGATACCGCAATGACTTGGTATATCCATTGTAAGGCAGCATTTCGTCAAATTTTTATCAGAAAATCTATCAGAAGTTCGCATTAAGGAGCAGAACTATTTTTAGTCAGCATAACTGAAGAGATAGCCATGATAGTGGCCTGTGAATCAATAAAAATCACAATGGTTTGTTCCTCTCTTCAGCATCTCAGTTAATGCCATTTCACCATCAAAATTGATATAATGCTTACCAATGACTCTGCCGAGGCTAAAATACCTGGAGTAGACATCAGCATTTGGTTGAGCCTCAGTAGCAGAACCGTCAGTGTGCACACGAATTCAGTGTTGTTCTGGGAATCTTTTGCCAATGCTGATTTTCAACTCTGACTCTATGTAGTTCTTTGTACTAATACGCAAAACCAAATCCAGATTACATTCAGCCAGGCTCAGATGTCAATGAAAATTTGTTGTTATTAATAAGGGTTATCTCTTTGTAGGAATGTCAAAAATGGTAGACAACTCTGTTGTCACTTGTACAAAGTTAGGTTGTGATTTTAACCTATGGACTGTAGGATTTACTGAAATGACGGTATCTTACTTCATTCATGTGAATGCCAATTCCCTTGTTAAGGACAAGAGTTTCTCACAATTTCTCCATAATGTATGGAAATAAATTTTGCCTTTGTTTGTATCTCTCGATCACTGCGGTTTTTCTAGTACACTGAACAGTCACATTTTTTGATTTTTTTCACCTTTATTTTCAATTTTTTGTTGCAAACTTCACGTTATCTGTTTCAAATAACTTTTGCTTCCTCATTCACGCCTGGTGAGTCTTGAGAATAGGTGACTATTTTTGAGCACTCGAAATATGTAGACTATCATTATTATCCTCATAATTTTGAAGCAAATGAACGTTTTTACTTATTAAGTATATCAGTAGGGTTAATTTTATGCTAGTATGGCTCTACATTATCCATTTCCAAAAATTTTTTAGTTCATTAAGTACCATGTACCATATGATATGCCAGTGCATATAATAGGCATTCTTTTTTATCGTCCCTATGCACTAGTGAAGTAAATTTTACAAGACAAAGAATGTCAAAATGCTATTCCTGCGTTTCCCAAATCAGCATCATATGGTTGATACTGAATATATTATATTATAATTTTCATATGAATATTAAAGGTGCATAAAAATATTTGAGAAATAGGGTAAATTTTGAAATGTGAAAGGTTACATACCCAGTGCTGCAAGATTACTGATGAAGGTCATAGTCAAGCTTAAATTAAGGTTGCCATTTAACAGAACTGTCCACATGTTACTTGCTCCGCCTCCAGGACTGCACCCAAATGTAAACAAACCTAAGCGTAGGATGACATCATCAAATAGCAACCTAGCTAAGCCATAAGCAACCTAAAAGAATGAAATTTTTTTTAAAACTATGATGAGAATTAGTAGCACATTAGGTTAATATTTTTTCAAAGTATTGATTGATTTCAAAATAATATTAATTTCAAAATATTGATTTTTTTTCAACTCCTTGATTAAAGCAGTATTTGAAAAAAAATGTCTCAGTGAATCCCATTTTTGAATTAATTTATTGGTGATGTGCAAGGGAAAAAAAACAGGTTATGTCTTGAACTCAGTTCAAAGGTATCAGTAAAAATAAATGAATCATCATCATCATCATCATCAATGGCTCGACAGCCGAGGGTGGGCCTTGGCCTTCTCAAGAAGATTTTTTCCAGGCTAACCTTTTTTTTGCTAGTGCTTTCCAATTTTTAGTTTTGAAGACCAAAAGGTCTTTCTCTAGGCCATCTATCCATCTCAAATTTGGCCTGCCTCTTTTTCGTGTGCCAACTGGACTGGCATTGAAAACTCTTTTTGCGGTATGAAAATAAAAGAATATTGGACTTTTTTAATGCTTTGCAGTCTATCAATAATTATAATAGCAAGGAGTGAAATTTCCACTCACCATAGATGCTTAATTATTTAAAGCTGGTGAGCAATTTTCATGTTTTAAAATATTCAGTTTTTAATTAAACTATATTCACTTAGATAATCCTGTTTCGATGAAGTGATCAAGCAACAGCATTTTTTTTCTATTTAGAAATATCTATAAAAAAATGCTAAGTAGTTAACTTTTCACATACAAAACCATTTATATTGGAAACATTGAAATCTTAAGACAATTTTATTTTGATTTAATATTATTATTACAATAAATATGCTTTGATATCAAAGTTTCTTCATACTTATTTGGTTTTTCAAAAAGTATTTCATACTGCATCTGTTAACTTTTTCAAATTTACGAAAAAGAGGCACACGAAATATGTAAATGTAAAATAGTTTACAAAATTAAAGTAAAAATTTTAGTCTGGCTAGTATTTATAAATTTGAGAGAAAGGTCTTGAGAAGTATTTTTTGGGGAATTCAAAAAATTGGCATGTGACTTAGAAGAACAAATTTAGAGCTTTATCACTCAAATAATGAACCTGACATTAACTTCATTAAACAACAAAGAATAAAATGGGTAGGCCATGTTATCAGAATGGGTGAAGACCACACCACAAAGAGTTTTCAATGCCAGACCAGTTGGCACACGAAAAAGAGGCGGGTAGAATTTGAGATGGATAGATGGCGTAGAAAAAGACCATTTGGTCTTAAAAACGAAAAACTAGAAAACGCTAGCAGGAAAAAGGTTAGCCTGGTAAAAACTTATTGAGAAGGCCATGGCCCACTCTGGGCTATCGAGCCATTGATAATGATGAGTATTTATGAAACTGAAATTTCATATCCTGATAATATAGCGATTCCAAGATGAAGGGTTTACAATATCAATGATGAAAGGTTTACAAACGAAATATGTTTTCCTTCTAGCAGTTTTCAATGTTTATAGTAGTTCTTTTTAGATTTAATTTCACCGAAAACAGGGTTGCCACAGAAAAAAAAGGAATAAAATAGTTGCTTTTAGTAGCCTAAAGCATGAAAATAGTTGCTTTTAGTAGCCTAAAGCATGAAAATAGTTGCCTAAATAAGAACAAAATTTTTTCAATAATATTAGTAAAATTTATTAAATGACTTAGTTGTCATATAACATGATTCATTTAGTCAAGTTGGTTCCAAATATGATAATTCTTCTATAAGCGTAAGTGTTCTAGCAATAAATTTGTACATAAAAAAATTAGTAAATTTAAGGAAAATTAAATATTTTAATTATTAGAATTGCATCAAAAAATACTTTATAAAAAAACATACTTTTTTTAAATAATTTTCCCTTTTATCAATAATTGATTTAGCAAAGTGAAAAGTGATTATTCAAATTCGAAAATCACACATCCTACAATCGTATTAAAAATTGGGTTTTTTAAAATTCTGCAGAATTTCGTAGCAATAACCATTGAAAAGGAGATTGAGATACAAAATAGACTTACAATGGAATCTGTGCAAATTGAGCGCATTAAAAAGTGATAGTAACTCAAATTTGCAATTCAAAATTTTCAAACTTTTTTAAGAAAAAAAAAAAATCATTGTGTTCAGGGTCATCAACCCAATTTATGCTAAAAAAACATCATAAGGAGCACAGAAAAGTCTCCCAATAGTCTATTTTTCCTGAAAATAGTTGCTTTATTAGCCTTTTCAGGCAAAAAATGTTGTCATAGTTACCTGAGATTCAAAATAGTTGCGTGTGAATAGTTGCACTGTGAAAACCTTAGTATCAATTTAATCAGCTTATTTAATTTATTTTCAGCTTATATTTATACGCCAAAAACAAATTCACAACAATACTGGATTCAGCTCCAGGACTTTGAATTTAACTTTCGAAAATAAAACCTAAATTAAAATTATTAATGATAAAACAATGAAAAATGTCATTCTTATGAAACATTTTTGAAATAAAACAGTCTATTAATTATAGGTTAATATGTTCACAATTGTCTTTATACATTTTAAAATCTGGGTTCCGTTGAACGAATCTTGATAATTTAGGGTTCCGTAATTGAAAAAAATTGGGAACTGCTGAACTAGTAAATTGATAAATAACGCTTACTTTTGTTTACACTCATTTTAATATAATGGAGTTTTTTTTTGTGATTGAAGCTTGGTAATTGTTTGAAGTTAGTTTGATGTATAATATGTATGGTATTAAATAGACAATAGAATATCGGTAACACCATTCAGATTCAGGAAAAGTGTGCAATTTTTCAGATAACCTCCATGTCTAGGTACGGATGGGGCTGGTTTTGAAAGGTTTTCCACCTACTATCACTACTTTTAGGGGGAGATTTCTGTATCGTGATCTGTGGTAGAATAATCGCCAAGTCTTTGCCACTTCTGAGAAGTGGCCTGCGAGAAATTTAAAAAAAAAAAAATCACAGAAAGGGACCAACTCGTGAGGTATAACTCGTAACCACTCCCAAGTAAACATCTACATGTATTTTTTTTATTTTTAAAATTGCAAGTTTAAAAATCTATTTGCCACCTTGGCGATATTAGTTGGCGCAACATATCACGATACGGAAATTTCCCCGCAACATTTTCTGTTAGTTGCTGCATTTGTCTGATTTATGGCATGGCAAGGTATAGGAAAAACTTTAAATTGCTCTTTTATTTGCTTACTCTGTTAAACTACCATTTAAAGACATAAAGATATCTCGAGAGAAGACCACTAGATACCACGATAATTTAACATTCAAACATAACATTTAATACAAAAAAAAGGAAATACGTTTAAATTTAGAATTGACATGGTTGGTGAGAGCTGCCTTCACACAGTATCTCCAAAACGCATGTGAATAAGAAATTAAATTGTTCTATGGTATAAAGTTAAGAGTTAATTATAAATTCGGGAGTTCTCCATCGAGACTGGCTGGCGCCTCTCAATGACAAAAAGGATGATGCAACTATCTTATATTTCATGATGGTAGATGACGCAATGTTCGTAGTTATTACACTATAATACTGTAACAACAGCTACACATTACTACCCCATAAGCAGACACTGCCACCAAACCCAAGTAACGAAAGAACACATTTTCAATCTTAAGAGTCTTGTCGCACATTTTTAAACTACTCATACAGTCCTTAGAACTCGAAAAACTCATCCTCCAAACTTTCGGAAACATTAGGTATTGAAATAGGCAAGACAACAACAATAGTTTATCTAAATACAATTATTGAATCAATTGAACTAATGGGTGGATTTAAACCTTTTAAAGCAAATGAAATTTTAAGAACAGTTAAATGTTTTTAATAGTAGCTTCAATACAAAAAAAGTGTTAAGAAGTTTAGGAAAAAATGCTCGTGAAATTGGAGATAACGGGTCTTTTAAACAACAAACCAATAATTTATTAAAAATTTACAAGTTAAACTAGTGATCTCGAAAAATCAGAGCTCATAATAATCGGGTTTGACTGTATACAAAATATGTAATTCATAAATAGAAAAATATGGGACAATTATTTTCGACGTATAAAAGTTATGAACTATGACAATTTAAGTTATGTATTTAATACTTACTAAAGGCATGACAGCATACTGCGAAATAAATCCAATAGTAGGTGCGATAGGTTTTCGCAAAACTGACTGCACCACACTAAGATCTAAAGCACAACCCATATTTATATAGTTTAAAGACACTAGGGTGGCTACAGATATAGTGAAAGCTTTTGATATAGCTCGAACTTTTCGCATCACAATGATCTCTAGAGGTGGAGAGATTTCTTTAGTTGTCCCGTTCACTTCTTTAACAACTCGTACCGAAGTTTTGCCCAGAAATACTGCTTGGATAAAGAAAGATCCATTATAACTGCTATAATCAAAGACAGTATTATTTATCGTAGCAATATCTGGGTTAGTAGATACAGCTTTATAAATCCCTTCTGATGGATTGTTAAGAGATTTTTCAAAAACAGTGAAGTACACTTGTTTTTCTTCACTCTCAATAAGTTTTTTTAAAGGATTCGGATAAAACGTAACATTGATAGCTGCTGTTAATTCCATTAGCAGCATTAAAAAACTAAACAACAACGCTAGCAACACTACAGGACACATCTTTTACAAAGATCAATCAAAGTAGGGTATGAGAAATGAGAACTTGAATACGACTCTCTAACACGATAACCTTCTTTCATCTATTGATGTTTTTTATTTGTTTCGGTTTTCCAGTTTGGGTAATTTAAGAAATAAAGTTCAAAAATCAGCACTGAACTTTATAAACTCTTAAATTTCATTAGTTATTGAAAAACATACATAACTTTAAGCATTTACGAATTAAAATGGTTTAAACGTTTTAATACATACTCAGTGTCAATTTTGTGAAAACTCAGCTCTGATACGATAACAGTTAAAATAAAATTTTTGATTAAAATATTTATCTGTAAAAAGAGAGAAAGTTTTTAATAGTATGAACCTAAAAGTATGAAATTGTATAATTTCTTGAAATAAAATAGAAATTTTATTAGCTCATAAGTGTTCTAAAAGTTATCATTGACCAATGTAATGAAAAATTTTGTTTTGGTGTGTCATCTAGTGGTGAATTTAAAAAGTATATCTTTGATTGTTGCGGATTGCTCTATTCGATGAATAGTATAATCTCGTCAGTTCCTTGGAGTTGTGCATTTGTTTGTAATCATGGCTGCTGGATGTTGTGGGGGGAAGAAAGAGAAAACAAATTATCACTTCCATCCCTGTTGTAATGGCACGGTAGTTCATCCTTACACTTGCCAACCAAGTATATATCGAAATGGAATGGTTGTTTGTGTTGAAATGTGCTTCTTTTGCTTCGATGTTTTGTACTGCCATTTAAACCAATATGAGTCGCCCAAAACTCCTAATTTTCCCAATGAAAGCTAGTAAGAGCTTAACCTACTTTTATTTTTTCAATTTATTTCTTTTAATTATTTTTGAGAAATGTGTAAATTGATGCATCAGCTAACTTTTTTGTACATTTTTAAGTGTTTTTTGTTAAATTTCCTTTATGCATTCGTAATATTATTCATATATTCAGTTTCTAAACAAAGGAATTGAGTAATAACTGCTCAGTCAAGGGAAACCAGAAACAGCTGTTTTGGCAAGGCCATTGTTGTTATTCGGTAGCCAATCGAAGGGTTTTCCGTATTTTGGTATAAAAACGCCTTTGGGTTATTTTCTGACTTTTAATAAATTGATAGTCTGTGTAAAATATTTGAAATAACCTTTGTTTCAATCGAAATTTCAAAATAATTTTTTTATTAAATAGTTTCAATTTATAATATATTTAATGAAATCATTTATTAAATTATTATTCCGTATAAAAAGATTGTTATCTTTGAATTATGTTCGGATTATCATTTAACTTGTTATATAATTTTGAAAGATGTAATTTTTTTTTTGCAATCAGTTAATCAAATGTTTAATGTTATTCCTGATTCAAATCAGTCTTTGTAATTTTATTTCTGGTAAAAAAAATATTAAAAAAAAAATCATTAGGAAATTTTAAAATGTAATTTAGTGTTTTGTTGTTTTTGTTTTCATTCGCCATCTTAGTTATATAATTATTTTAAGCTTGTACTAATGGATGTAAAGTAAAGCTTTTATAACTTTTGGCTTTACTGTTTGGACATAATTCATTTATTATATTTTTCTTTGTGTAAATTAACTAAAGTAAATTAAGTATTTAAAAAATTAAATTTTTATTTTTAAAATTAGAATGTAAGATTTTTAATAATTTGCCGCTTGTTTGAGTTTTGTTATTTTCCTCTTCCTTTACTAATTCTATTTATATTATTTTAATCTCCTGCTTCACTTTTCCATTTATCAATAGAATAGTTTACTAAGAAACAATGACAAATTGTTTCATTGTTAACACTGGAAAAAGTTACTTAGTTCTATGAGGAAAATGTTGATTTAGAGGAAAAAATAAAATATCTGGGTCAAATGTTTAGATGATTAAGCAAATACAGAACTAAATTGAATCTGTTTATTTCACAATTTTATTTGGGTATTTTTTTATTTATTTTAATTTGTAGTATATTGTATTGTAATACAAATTCTTTTAAATTATATGTAAATATTGCTAAAATATTTATAAATTTATTTCTGCACACAACACTATCCAAAAAATTTATTTTAGTGAAGTTTTAATGTAGGGTGTGTAGTTGTCCTGATTTTGCGGATAAAAATAATTTGTTTTGATATTTTGCTTACTTTCCTGATTTTTTTTGCCTGCTCAGAGCAGAACATTATATTTTCTATGAATACAATTGTGAGTTTTTAAAATAAAGATTTGAAGAATTGAAAAGTTTGGATTTTTGATAGATCTTTTTATTTTTATAAGTAATATTGCTGGAAGAAATTTTACAATTCAGTAGTTCAAATTTAGGGACCATCCACTAATTAAATAGATGATTTAGACGTATATCTGTACCCACAGGATTCACTGTTTGAACCTTTTTGGGAATTTAATTATTCCTTGAAAAAGAAACTCAAATGACCACCATTATATAATCAATATTTTTATAATTAATTCAAAGGTCATTTGATTATGTATTATTTTAAGCAAATGCAGTAGTAACTAATTTGTAGAGTTGAAATCTTTTGTAGTATGACAATTATTGATTCTTCTTTTACATCTGATTTTTAAAAATGATTAATTCTAATTAATTCATTACGATAATCATATTACAGAATTTTTAAATTGTGAATTGATATGTCATCATCTGAACAAAAATGTTCACTGTTTTCGTTTTGAGATTATTAAAACCATACTATAAAATTATTTGATTTAGAAAATTTCTGTTCCAAAATATTTAGACCAAAAAAAAGCCAAAAAAATTTATTGCTTTGTTATGAATCTCTGAAAATAAGCTGTTGAAAAGTACATTTCTTATAGATTTTCTTTAACCCTTTATCTGTCAGCATCACATCTAATATGTTGGGTGTTTTTGTGCCCGCATGGTTGGTGGCGCATTCCATGTGACAAAGAGAACAATTGCATGATTGAAATCCCTGTGGCGGAATCACGGCAACAATGTCACAGAACGTTAGAGTTCTCACAGAAAGAATTTTTCTTTAGAAAGTAAAAAGTTTTGGTTTTCTTTAGAAAGTAAAAAGTTTTCGAATTTTTTTTTCTTTAAAATTATATTTAAAAGATGCCTTTTTCGTGCATCAAAGGAGGAAGAAATGTCCGTAATTTTTCGATTCTTGCTTGAGAAAAATGAAAAATAAAGAATATTGAAGCAAAAAAATTTCTTTTCTGCAGAATTTTCTTCTCCTTCCAGAGGGGAAGAAATGATTAATTTTAGCTTGAATGATTAATTTCAACGTGATTTTTTAATTTTGGTTTTCTTTTCTTTCACGTATTTTACGATTTTTAATCCTTTTTTTATTTGATGATTTACAAGATGCAAAAATTGAAATAATTAGTGTGTTTTCCTTTTACAAAATGTGACAATATTGCCCGAGATGATTAGAATAAAAAAAAAATATTACATATTCAAAGTTTCTTGCAGATAGATATTAGTGCTAGAGAGGTATGTCGCAGAAAGCCCAAACAAATTCTGCCACAGGGATTGAAATTTAATTTGTTGCTCCTAACTCGTCTCTTTAAACCCCATGATTATTTTTGTATTTTTGAGCATTGCTAAGAGATGGCACAACTGGTCCCACTTTCTTTATAATTTTCACAGTAAGATTTCCTGCTTTGAATTGAAATCAAAATAATTTTGTACTTTCTCTAATTTCGTTTTTATTAGTGTTATAGTTAGTTGCATGTCAAAATAGTTATGATGTATTCAGAGCTTGGGTATGAGGACAGTGATTGTAAAGCTGTTTTAACGGTAACATTGGAAAATTATTTTTCAAAATATTTTTTATCCAATTCTAATAATTATTTTATGCAGATATTTATTTTAAACACCTTAAAGCAATAGAGTTAAATATGCTATCTCAGTGTATTTTTTTAAAATAAAACTTGGGTGCATTACAGGGAAATCTGGAGATCCGTGGATGGGACATCACATATTTCACCACTAATAGGTCAAGCAAAGAACTGAAAGAAAGATTTCAAATTTAGGCTACAACATATATTAATTATCAGTGGTAAAGAAATGCCTTTTTTTGGGTTGGAAATTTGAAGCAAAAATCCAACAGAGAAGGAGTAGACTCTTCCTTAAAAATATAACAAAAGTCATATTTGTAGGAAAATAACATTAAAGCTGCAATGTAATGTATATTAATCAGTAAAGCATAAATGGTCATATATTTATTTTAGATAACATTCATTATTAGGGAGTTGATTGTTCTCAATAAGTAAAGAAAAATAGTAACTTTATTTGTAATGTAGATTGATAATGAAGAGATAATGTTTGATTAAAAATTTTTTAGAAATTGCAAATTATTTGTTATTTAAAAATTCCATAGATGCTTAGAATATGCTTAGAAATTTCACTTTGTCCATTTTGAATTATGTTACTTATATCTGTAAATTTCAGTTACAATTATCTCAGGACAACGTAAATTAATTAATAGCTACAAAATTGGGTAAAAAAAAGTAAATAAAACTAATATTTGATATAAAATAATAACTGTAATGACTGGAATTAAAATATTAATTTAAAAGCTGCAACAAAAGATATTGTTATTAATTTCATGACAACCAAATAACTAGATAAGTTACAAGTTATCTGCAAGCTCATAATTTATAAGAAAATTGTAAAATATATTTCACTTCAAAGCTTTGTGGAATTCAGTTAAAAGTAATTGAGAGAGAATAATTAAAATTTTCTTTTATTTAAAATTAAAAGTGGATTTACTTGTCCATTTTTATTTCCTTCAAATTCCATTTTTTTAAAAAATTTCTTTCTTGGATAAGCGTTTTTGTAGTATTAATTGTTACAACATTTATAAGATTTTGCAGTTTTTTTTATTGAAACAATATTCATTTAAAATTTTGAACTATAAAAAGAAAAAAAAAACAGAAAAACAAGTTAATCAATCAGCTATCAAAATGAATTTGATTAATAATTCATTTGTTTTTAATTTGATTTCAATAAAATTAAATTTTTAAAAAAATATTTCTGAATATAATGAAAGTTTTCAAATATTTTAGCATTAGTAATTTTTTGTAAGATATTATTTTCAAAAAACAATACTAAAATTAAGAAAATCAAACATCTAGAGCTGAATGACAAATGGCTTGTGAAGTGGAAAATAATAGCTCAAAAAAATTTATGTTGTACTATTTAGAAGCTATTTGAAAGTATATAATATGTTTGACTTACACTTAGAAGGCTAGCATGCATGTGTAGGTTGTAAGTTTTTAACTTTTTCCATTTGCAGGTAATGAAAATAAAAAGAAATAAATCGAAGTATTTAATATAAATAAAACAAATACAGAATGAAAAATACAGAGTAATTTATTACAACTCAATGGTAGAAACATGAAATCGAAAAACCCGAAATTAAAAATTTTCCTATTTAAAAAAAAAAAAAAGTTAGCTGAAAGTTAGCTTTTGCTGTTGTTAGAAAATAAATTTTGCCACTATAAATTTTTTTATTTTTATACAGTGCATGTTAGATTAATTTGATGTTTGTAGTTAGATTTTTCAAATTTTTTTTCTTCTATCTTTTCATTTTTTCGAAGTTAATTTTACTTTTTTTCCCTTTATAATTATATACAAATTTGTAAGCAATTACCTTTAACGACAAAATTTTTCTGAACCTATAGCCATCCCTGTGGAAATTTTTTTTCCGAGCTATCTGCGACAAAACTCTCTAGCACTAACATCTTTCTGCAAGATACTTTTAATAATAACAAACATGTACATTAATAATTTAAAATAACAAAAGCGCTGTGTTTACAAAAAAATATATATAAAATTATTTTTAATTAAGCATGTAATAATTTTTATTCTAATACTATGGGTGTTATTCTCGCATTTTGTTGAGGGGGGGGGGACACACTAATTATTTCCTTCTTTGCATTTTGTAAATAATTATCACAATGAGAAAAGAATTAAAAATCATGAAATCCATAGTAGTAATTGCCGAAAAGAAGATCGATGACGAAATCAAGCGAATCGGACTCCTCAAAAAGGTGTTACTCAGATGTGTGCTTCCTTCCGAGATTAGGTTGTCGAATAAAAAATATCAGATTTAAAAACTATGGTGAAATCAATAGCAATAACATAGCCAAAAAATTAATAGAATCATTGCCTTAAAATGTAAATACTCAAATGCACTATTTGAATTTTCCATATTGTTTGAAATATATCAGGATATTTAAAAACCACATGAAAATCAATATCAATAACAACCGAAAATACAATCGAAACATTACTTGAATTTACTTGTCATGAATTAAGCTTGCCAAAAAGTGATTATCTTAATGCACGGTTCAAATTTTACGTGTAAATTTCTGTTGGAAAGAAAACTAAATTTTTTTACTTTTAAAAAGAAAAATCTTTCTGCGACAATGTTGCCGTTTCGCTGTGATTCTGCCATGGGGATAGCCATAAACAACACTTGCCGAATGCAATGGTTCCAAACGCATTACGGTGTTTTCACTACAGCGCGAGAATCTCGCCTATTTTTTTCTTTTCTCGCAATCAAAAATTATTAACGCGAGAAGTTCGTGCACTCTATTAATCAATTTCAAAATGCACGAATTTTGGAAAAAATTTCGTCTTTTGCCATTTTGAATAAAATCCGTTTCACTTTTTCTTCCTTGATCTTTCATTATTTTGAACATCGGTCCTTGTTATCTAGCTTCCCTATTTATCAGTATTGTTCAGAACCGGTGAAAACAGTAGAGCACCCCCCCGAACCACGGAACCCCTTTCAGAACACATTTCTCTGCTACCACGTGTTCACCGTTGGTAAGGTTTCTTCATGTAAGACGTATAAATGTTTTGTGCATGAATGTAAGATGGACAAATACCTTGTTAAGGTGGCATCTTCTACTCTGTAACGGACAAATAAAAATGAAACAAATGTCCGTAGAAACGGTCAAAACGAAATAAGTACGGATATTTTTCAGCCAAATAAATATAATAGCCGATGAAAAAGTAGATATAGAACATTTTCCATATGATGATGCAGCAAAAATATTGAATTAGAAGATGTGAAAAATGTATTATAATTAAAGAAATAATTTTTTTCCAAGTCTATTCGTGTTTTTTTAATTTTTAGAAATCTCACTAAACTTTTTGAAATCTCATCCTGTTTTTTAGAAAGGGTAAGAAATTCTCTCCCATTATTTTTCTGTAATAAATACACTGCATTATAAGGATATAGATAAGGATACAATAAGTAAGTAAAAGAGTTAAATAACAAATAAAAACCCAATAAGCCTAATCAAATTAATGTGGCTGCACTTTTTTTTCCAAGGCTGCAAGAAATAATATTTTTTAAATTACTACTTTTTTTTCTTATATGTATTTTAATATAAATATTTAATCCTCTATTGGTTTTAACAATTTCATTTTTACCTTATTCAAATGCTCATACTTTTTTTTATACAACTATGGCTCAAGCTAATATCTTCTCTCCTATCAGAAAGCTATAGTTCATTTTATATTTTTCTTCTCATTCAAGTCTTGAAAATGGGCACCTATTATGGAACACTTGAAATATGTTGACTGTTATTTCTAATTTGTATATTCTTGGTGTGAATGCAATTTTTTAATCAGGTAATATTTTGCTTCAGTTTCTTGGGATTATTTATTCATATGGTGTGAAGGGTTATTTATTTTTTCCTATCAAATTTAGATAACTGTTTTTTTTTCGGAATAAAAAAAGTTTTCTGAGTTTTTTTCTATGTACAGGAAAAGGAAGTCGATCAAAGTTAATTTTTTTGTGTTCACAGCCATTTGGAAGGGGGGAAAAATAGTTTCGAAGCGTGCAACCACCAGTGGGTTAAAAAATGGTTCAGAGGCAAATGAAAAGAGTTTTTTGAGGGCAATAAATTTTGCGTCCCTGCAGTAGTGTCTACTACAATGTTCAATTTTTCTCCTATGAGTAGGATGTTGTTATATGTATTGGCTTTAAAGGTTTTTTTACTTTGCAATTTTTTCTAAAATTTTATTTTTTATTTATAACCATTATGCTGAACGGAGGTAGATTTGGGCACAGAGACTAATGCACAACTAAGTGAAGTTATGACTATAAATCCTTTTTCAGGATATATTCAAATTAAGGCATAGAACGAGGTAAACAGGTAAGCATTCATTTGCTTTTCTCATAGAAAAGTTTAATGACAAATAATACCAGAACGAAATTTTTACTTGCGATAGGTGCAAAAATTATTTGAAGGACTTCTTGTAATGAATTAGATTTTGACTACAGATATTTTTATAACAATTTGATCATGAGCAACAGTGGGTACAATCTAAAAACCTCAGATAAAGAAAATTTTGATAAATTATAATCTATTTAAAGTTATCAAAAAAACAAAACAGGAAAGACAAAAATAATTGGCTTTTTGTAGATGTTTAGCAGATTTATAAATTGTTTTCTTTATTCATGAAATTTAACGAACTACAATGATTGTGCAATTTAATTTCGCCCCCAGCGCCCCTGAACTTAATACATACCCTCCAACTGCTACGGAATTTCCGTAGTTTCAGAAATCTTCTTTTCTGACGGTAGCAAAATTAATGTATAAATATTTAAAAAAAATTTATTTTAGCGTAACTTGTCCACAATTACTTATAAAAGTGCAGGCCATATGGCTAGATTCTTAAGTTCTGCTAAAAGTTNAATTTGGTCGATTTTTGGGTTTTCCATCGTGAAGTGTCCCCTTAAAGTTATCAAAAAAACAAAACAAAACAGGAAAGACAAAAATAATTGGCTTTTTGTAGATGTTTAGCAGATTTATAAATTTTTTTCTTTATTCATGAAATTTAGCAAACTACAATGATTGTGTAATTTAATTTCGTCCCCGACGCCCCTGAACTTAATACAGCAAGGTTTTAACAAAGCATTTAATGCTACTGCCAGGTCAACGTGGCGAGTTCTTCCTCAATATAGTTATTTGCAGACTAGCACTATTTTAAAGTCTGAATAGTTGGACACGGCGACAGACCTGAAAAATTAGTGACATTTATTTTCTTTGTAAAGATTATTTTTTGGATAGGTTAAGAAACTTTAAAATTTATGTTATGCTTATTTAGTTCTCATTGACATGGAAAACTGAAAAAGAGTACAATGCCACCATCAACTCAGTGATTGTTTTTTTTATATTTTTTTTTGCGTTGATGGCCAGTCTTTGACTGCAGTATTAAAAAATTCAAGATTTTAGTGTATATAAATATTTTTTGTGAGCATCTTAAATACCGTCCAACTGTCGCAAGAAATCATCCTGATTGAGAGCATAAAGTGGTTTGCTTCTGCAAAAATAAGAGTTAAATAATTTCTAATGGGGAGAAATTTAAAAAAAAACAACATAATTCTCCTGACCTATACCAAAGCAGAACTCCAAATTCTTATCCCTATTTGAAGGGACATCCTCATTACCACAACAATCACCGGTGCAAGAGTCAAGTCACTAGAAAAATTATCGTGATAGGTAGATAGTACATACATCATCAAAAGTGTTAGATACAAACATTTATAATTAGTTATGTCTTTGTAGCAAATAAATTTTGTTATAAAGTTGATGAAGTTCATTATAAAGTTGTACATTTTAGAGGAAAAACTTGAGAGGTGTAGCGGTTCTTATTATGTTTAGTTGGTCCCTTTTTCATTTATTGTTTAGTGTTTACAGTTAATATGTTGCATGTATGTGTGCCTTTCACACATACATGCAACATATCAATCACATCATACATGCAACAATCACATTTCCTATTATTTTCTGAACGTAAATTGGTTATCCATAAACAAGAGTTGAAAAGGTGTGCATGAAAGTCCTTGAAAATTATAACCTTAGCCTCTAACTGATTCTAAAAATAAAACCATCTGAAATTTTTGTGTGTGAGACACTGCAATTTTTAACTCGAAGCTTTTCAAGTATTAATTGGCAAATGTGATTGTCAGATTTAATTAGCAATTGTGACAGTGAAGAGAAAAAATTTCAGCCTAGATGCTATGTTTAAAGTTATAATCTGAAATTTTAACTCTTTATTTTCTGCTTTTTTTTTATCATTGAACAAATTTTGCCCTCTGCCTAAAGTGTTTATTTATCTCAGTATGCTCATATTGCACAGAAATTTATCAAAAGTTAAACAAAGGAAAGTATCTTTGCATTTATTTTTATTTATTTTTGCATATTTTAACTAGTGAAAAATTCTAATTATGTAATAACATCTGGCTCTTGGTTACAGGGATATTCTTCCTTTTATTCTCTCTTATAGAAGTTAAATAGTTTTTATAAATTGAATGCATTAAAATGTTTGGTTCATATTTATCTTTGGTTATTTAGTCCGCTGTTTGTGACATGGAAAATCGGAAAGGACCGGAAACTTCGTGGTTGTATTGGTACCTTCAACTCTATGAACCTTGCTTCTGGATTAAGAGAGTATGCTGTTACTAGGCAAGTGCAATAGATTTTTCTAGTTCCTCTTAATCAGATAAATGTTTGCTTTACAAATGTAGCAACAACAAAAAAAAGTTTAATTACTCATTGCATAATTATTTATTGTATGAATGAAATATTTTTTTGCTTTAATCTGTGAACTGTAAGGCATTTTATTTTACTCATATTCCCCCCTCACGTACGTACGTCTCATAAACTTCCTCAAAGAACTTGTTAACTTTTCCAATTTTTTTTGTCCCTTTTAAATACCCTCTATATGATATTATAATGATACACAAATTTTGAATTAAGAATTATCTATTTTTGATGTGCACTATTCATGACAATTCCTTTATAAATCCTCATCATTTTTCGATCCTTTTTCGACTATTATTTACCCATTTTTGGCCATCTCCACATGGTTTTTTTGAACTCTGATATTTTTTATTACATTATTATGATGCCTGAAGTTTGCATTTGAGTAATCACTTTTTGATGCTCTTAATTTGGGACTATTCCATTTTTAATCCATGTCGCTTTCCAATAGTTTTGTAGACACTTATTTTTTGTTTTTACAGTCCCTTTTTACGTGGTTTTCCAAACTCTGTTTTTAAAAGAATATTACAACTATGACATGCGAATTTAAAATTTAAACAATCACTTTTTGGTGCACACAATTTTTGAAGATTCCGATGGTTTTTGGGAGTTATATCGCATTTTTGCTTGTTTCTGAGTAGATTTTAAATTCCTATTATGCCACCTCAATTTTAAATTTGTGTAATCGCTTTTTGTCAAGTTCAATTCGTTTATAATTATTTACTTTTTGGCCATTTTCGCATCATTTTTAAATCCTCGATAATCAAATGTGATATTAGTACCTTCATTGAATTTGAAAACATGCATTCAAGTGATTAATTTTTGATTCACTAGATTTACAACAACATCATGAAAATTCCTGTGATTTTATTCATTGTTTTTTCGACATGACTTTTAAAATCTGAATGATTTTAATACAATATTATTACTAAATGCGAAACTATGCCACTGTATACCAAAATAATAGTGTCTTTTTAATCATCTTGTAACTTGTAATATAGTTATTTTATTCAAAACTGCAGTAATAAATGTCTTTCATCAAATGTGTCGAATTCAATGCATAATTATGATTTTAGTAGCATAAATTGGATCTACTTTCATACAAGTATAAATATTTAATATTAACCATTCAGCAATGGATTTATGTGACACAGTAATGATGAATGCAATTTTTGCATTCTCAAAATTTATTGTGATACCGTATCAAAAAATGCCAGTATTAAAAATAGTTTTGCTGCAAGTATTTTTTAGCACTAGCAAACTTTGCTACTGATTTTAAAAAATGAAACCATTCCCTGGTCTCAGTTACTTTACTACCAGTTCCTGGTAGAGAGAGCTGTTTAATGATTTTTCCCTGATGTCGTTGAAAAAGGAAAACTATTCCTAAAGAATAATGCTGCATATAGCCTAAAGCTAAGGATTTGTGCTAGGGTGTTTTGAGTGGCTCTTTATATATAATCCTACACTTAAGCATTATGGAGCAGAAAATCTAAAGAATTAAGTGGGTTTTAGCTGTTAGCAACGGATGAATACCAAGATTCAATTAATCTTCTGTATGGCAATAGATGCCACATTTATCTAAATCAGTTCCTTTTTTAATTATTAAAGATGATATAGTTTACTTGACTTTTATTCTCTTTGGTTGTATTCTTAGTCCAAAGAAAGACAATTTTCTCTAGGTACCATAATGAATTGTGAATGTTTATATTTATAGGTTGATTTTAAAAAGTTATAGGAAATCTGTATAAGATCGAAAAAAGTGTAAAAAAGATGGTTTGATTTTGAAATATAACTAGGCTGTTGGAGCTTTCAACTAGGCTGTTGGATGTAAATATAATACAAGATTATTTGGTCATTTTTCGAAATTCAATGCTAGTGAAACCATTAAATATGATGATAAAAAGCAATTTCATTTTAAATTCCACGTAATTAATTTAATTAGGAAACAAAAGATTAACTACTTTAAGAGAAGTTTGCAAAGCATAATTTAAAAAAGGAAGTTTGCAGTTTTTAAAAAAATGTTCAAGTAAAATTTTATTCTATGTTATGCCTAAGTGTACCAGATGCTATGCTTAAAGGAGGAAAAAATGTAGCTACTTATCTTTCAGAATTCTGAGGCTTTCTAAATTTATTCTTAAAAAGCTTAAGATAAGGTTGAAAAGTGGACGAAAGTAAAACAAAACAAAAGGAAGCTTTATGTTTATTTTGAAGAATTTTCATGTACAGAGATAAGGACATTTTTTGAAAAGTGTTGTTATATAATCTAATTGATCAGCTTATGAAATATTTTATTACAAATTTATTATAATGAAGTTACAAAACAAAGTTACATTATTACAATTTTAAAGTTTTGTTGAGAAGTTCAAATATTCACAACATATTTAGCACATAATACTTTATATATAAAAAGTTAAAAACATAGAGAAAACATGGAAAAAATTAAAGATTAATAAGCAGAGAAGAAAAAAAAAATATTAAAATAGAATATTAGGAAAAAAAAAGAAAAAAAAGAAAAAGTTTTCCGTTCATGCAAGTTTATTTGAATTCGCTACTCGCTTTATAGGTTTCGTTTTGTGTTTTATTCTGTTTTTTTTTTAGTGCTCCTCACACTACTGTACTGATATATTTTGCTTTGGCTATATTGATACAATATTAGAAAGCACTCCTTTTTGCAGATATAATCGTGTAAGCTGATGAAGAGATTATATCTTTCCATTTTTTTTTTGTTTTGTTTTCCTGCTTTTTTTTTATTTTTCAATTGTTTAAAAAATTTTTTTTTTAGTATTTTATTTCCATAATTTTTTTCTTCTTCTCTTTTCATTAATCATTAATTTTTTTATGTTTTCAACTTATTTTATGAGTTCTGTATACTTGCAGCTCATGCGCAATGAATAAAACTTATTAATGCTCTTAATTTTCTTCGTATTTTACTTTTTTTAAAATCCTTTTTGTCTTTATTGTGATTATATATATATANATTTAAATAAAAAAATTATTTATAGCTATAAGTAAAATTAACAGTTCTTTTTACTCTGTTAATATAATCAAGTTTTTAAAACCCTAGTGGTTAATGGTTTCCATCATGAATTGTTATTTTTTTTCTTTAATTACCACATTTTTAGTAAGTACTCAGACTAAGAAATTTTTTCTCAATAGTGCTTTTCGTGACAGTCGATTCAGCCCCATTACCAGAGAAGAGTTCTCGAAGCTGCATGTGTCTGTATCCATTTTGCGACATTTTGAAGATGGGCAAGATTACTTAGACTGGCAGGTAATAAATACATTTTTGATTTGTATATATTTTTTTTGTAATTTATCTTGATTTATTAATCTAATTTCTTTTTAGGTTTGGTCTAAATTTATAATTAGCACTTATTTACCTTTTGAAAACATGTTATTTCTCAAAATAATCTTCTTTTCTGACTAGTAATATGTTTTTTACTTATTGAACTCATTTTAACCCTTAATTTACACCATAGTAATTAGAGTGGTATGTAGAAAAACAACGCCTGTATCTTGTGAGTATGGAATTATATCATGAGAGCGATGTAATTTAATGTTCACAAATTTTAAGCCCCCATTGTTGCTGTTGATAGAGAAGAATTTCTTTATAGAAGTTTGTTTTGAGGAGTTTAGTTTAAAATCTTCAATGCAAGGTGCTAATTCTTCTCGTGGGTCCAGATTTTTAAAAATTTTTATATGCGTATTTTAAGCAATTATGGCTTGGATCAACCCCAATCCGAGTTGATCAGTTAATCATAAGTGAATATTCATATTTTTTAAAATAGTTTTTTAATGAGTACAATTTGATGCTTTTTTAAGCACAGTTCTACTCTTTAAATGTTTATTTTTTGTGATAGGTTCAAAAATGATTTATTGAAGTTTTCTGAGTTTTTTTTTTGTAATTATAATTTCTGCAACTGAGATAGTTTCCTATCACAATTTTATTCTTTCCTTGTTTTTTAAAAAGGGTTCTTTTCAAATCGAAAATAAATAATCTTTTTTTTAGTCCTTTTATTTATTTTTTTACCTAATTTAAAACATTTTTTCATACTTTATGTACGTTCCATAACCATACGTTATGTAGTTCCATGGCCTAGTCAAATTATTTCTATTTATGAAAAAAAAAAGGATGTTCTTTAGGAGTTCGTCCCCTTGAGAGTGTTTACATTTCAGTTCCATGTTCATTTAGAGTGTCTACATTTCAGTTCCATGTTCATTGAGAGTGTCTGCATTTCAGTTCCATGTTCATTGAGAGTGTCTACATTTCAGTTCCATGTTCATTGAGACTGCATTTTAGTTCCATGTTCATTGAGAGTGTCTACATTTCAGTTCCATGTTCATTGAGAGTGTCTACATTTCAGTTCCATGTTCATTGAGAGTGTCTGCATTTCAGTTCCATGTTCATTGAGAGGGTCTACATTTCAGTTCCATGTTCATTGAGAGTGTCTGCATTTCAGTTCCATGTTCATTGAGAGTGTCTACATTATAGCTGAACGAGATGGGTGGCAATTAATTTATTTTCATTGCATGAAAAGTTTCAGCAACTGTTGTAATTTTGCATCTTCTGTAATGTATCTGCAATTACTTACCCATTACTTTTCCTTTATCAAAATCATTCTTATCTACTTATTTATTTTTTTTTGAAATGGTCCTTTTAAAGTTACTCATACTCATACGTGGAAATGATGGTTTATAAAAATATTGTTGAGCTAGTTTTTGTTGCATTTTCGTGCTTTTAAAACCTTGCCCTTTTTTATGTTAAGCTGAAATTTTTTTTGTTGGTACATTTTTATATGATATTAATTTCTAAATAAGCTGCACTATATGCACATGTAAAATGAAAATTTTAATTTAAGATGAAAATTATTTTTTCTTTGAAGTTAAATTTCACTTGATGAACAATTTTACATGTATCTTTTTATGCAAAAAACTAAGAAATTCATATTATGTCAATTTAGACTCGCATATAACATATCAATAAAGTTTTCTATAACTTTTTTTAAAGGCTTCTTTTCATGAATATATTATTTTTTATTAGAAATACACTGCAGAATGTAAAATTTGATATTTAATGACATTGAACACAACCTTTTCAAAACTAATTAAAAAATTTGAAACTTTCTATAATTATTTGGACAGCAAGAAAGACTTAATTTCTGAAACAGACAACTTAAAAAATATTTTGTTACATTTTCAAAAGTTATTAAGCAACTTTTACTTATGTTATCACATTTTCAAAATACCTCTAGATTTTTTTAAACAAATTATTTAGAGCTGAACCATGTATCCTTGCAATTTGTAAGTTTCTTACATAATGCTTATTGAGAGCATTTTTTCATTGCTTACTGTTGCCTAGCTAATTTATTCTAATTCTTTTGTTTTTTTTTGTCATATTCAGTTTATTTCACATAAAAAATTATCTTGATAAACTGTCGAGAAATTAAACATGGTTCGACGAGGTACATGGCCCGAAGGTGCCACCCTCTTTGATGGCGATGAAAATACAGCAAAGATGTTGGCTGCACAGATGTGAACTAGTAAATGAAAATGTTTCTAAATTGCTAATTATCCGAAGATAATTAGCTGAAGAAAAATGTGACTGCAGAGTCTCATCATGGTTTGCAGGAATAAAACTAAAAGTAATAGACCTCTTAAGAGTTCTAAAACCTCTTGAAGAGAGAAAAGTTTTTTTCAAATCTTGGAGAGTTCTAGCTAAGCTGACTAACTTTATCCTGAGGCGAGGTGTACTAAATCTTCTTCTGATGTTGATAGACCTTATGTGAAAAACACACTCAGTGAAATTTACAGGATAAAGTTTGCGACAATTGCAGCATTTAACTGAAATTGATCTATCTTTTTCACAGATGTAGGAGGCATGTTGTCCAGTGTATTTTAGGCAATATGATTGGTCGTTGCATCTTCTTTTAACATGTCTAAGCAACTGGCATCTGTAGCATTGAATCTGCTGCTGGCCACTGTGTACCTTTCCACTATGACTTCGTGGTCCTCGGTTTTTGTAAAGCTGTAGATGTTGCAATGATCAGTATGATGAGGAAAATATGGAGATCCACATAGGTAGGTGGATCATAGGCTTTACTGGTTCTCTTTCTGAACTGGTCCGGTTTAATGCAGCTGTAGTCGTTTGTTCGCAGTTCGTCTCCAAGAGTGGCTGTTGTGTATTGGACTGGCACTCCTTTGAGATCTCTTCTCCTAGTTGAATTTGGAACAGACTGTTTAAGATTGGTTATATCTGCTTAGCATTCCATCGATGTTGTAGATAGTGCAGTATCAGGTGGGAAAGGAGAAGAGGGTTGGGAATCAAGGGGGAGGGTTGGGGATGTTACTAGATTCCGAAGCCACTTGAGGTTTTTATTATTTTCTGCTTTTTAGTGTCAGTCTTTGGGGTGGTGTTGGAGTCAGGAACAATGGCAATTGAAACTGGAATTTCCACAAGAATTTTCTCTTTGGCATCATTGGTGGAAGGAGCCTGAAGACAGTGTTGGTTCTCATTTAGGAAATTCAGTTTTATAAGACTTCTGGCCAATTTTTCCATAGATGGCCAGATCCAATAAGCGTGATAGTAGTCTCCTGCTTGGCAATGGCATTGTCTATTTCCTCCATGGGTAATTCACATAAAAGTCTGGTCGAAGCTGTTTCTCAATCCTTGTCAATTAGAGGCAAAATCATGATCGTGTTTGCTGAAGAACAACTGTTTGACTCTGTGGCCTAAACGTCATGATTTCAGAGCACCATCGGTGAAATTTAAAGGCTGAATGACGGTGATAATTATCTGGATAAAAAAAAGAAGATATATATGAGGTTAATTATATCCATGAGCTCTTTTAAAAAGCATGCAATTTAAAAGCTCAAATTCAGTTTAAATTGAATTCAGTTCAAAAATGAATAATTGTTAAAACATTGAATAAAATAAATAATTTTTGATCAATATCTCAAATCACTTAATTTAAATCAGTTCTGTTTATCATAATTATCTGTTCTGTTTATCATATCATATTGTTCTGTTCATCGTAAAATACTTAAATGCATATTTTAATTGAATAATGACTGAAAGTTATATTTTAAAATTCACCAAAGAACTTATATCTTCTTGTAAGAAAGTTGATTTCTTTTCTATCATCAATTTTCTCTAATCAATGGTATAAATGTTCATTAGTTTTGGTGTAAATTATTACTATTAGTTAAATTAAATCCTATCTTTTGTTTCATATATATATATCATTTGTTTCTAATTTAAGTAGTTTTAAAGTTTTTTTTAAAACCTGTATAGATATCTATAAAATATTTTCCTCGACAAGCTATGCTTCAAGTACGAGTTTAATACTGGTGAGGTTCTTCCAAGTTTTTTTTATATTATCCACATAGCTTCGAAATATTTTGCTCTAATTACATATTTATATTTAGGATTCTTAGGAAAAATTGGATAATCATTATTTATTTACTTATTTACTTTGTCAAATGTTTATTATCAAACTATTCTTAATAAAAACTAGGATTATAAAGTAAGAATATTCAGTTTATTTATGAAGTACTGTCAAAAATACTTTTTTATATAACAACATTTCAACAAATAATTATTTTTTGCATCATAATTGGTAAAATGCTAATTTTTGCTAAGATATTAATAACAAAATATTTCTTTTTAAATTGCGTGATATCCTCTTCAAAATAGTTTCATTTGTAATTTTCACAAATTAGTCTTTTTCTTCAAATATTTTATGATTAAATGATAGGTTTATGAAAATTTGTGTGTATGTAATTATGTGATACTAAACAAATCATGCACCATTAATATGCTGTTAGATTCAGCTCTTCATTTTTTTAGAATGTTTGTTAAAGTTTTTTTTTATTGAGCATGCTTTTGTGTTAATAATTTATTTAAGTAAATTTTTTATATTTCTGTAAATATTTGTTTTTTTTTTTAAAAATTTATTAAAATTTTTTATCAATTAAAAATATTTTAAATTGTTTAAAGAAATTGTTAGTTTGGTTTATAATTAATAAAATAAATAGTAAATTTTTTTCATTTTTTTAATCAAAGAAATATTTCTTACAATAGATCGGCATGCATGGGATACGCATAGAGTTTAATACTGAGAAAGGCTACAAACGTACTGCTACATACCTTCCAGAAGTTGCACCAGAACAAGGTTTGTACAACTGCATATGTAGAACTATTTTGTTTTTAGCTTTTAAACTAAATGATGATAAAGAACCGAATTTTGAAGATTTTTTTTTTATTAAATGTTTATTTTTTAATTTTATAATACGTATTATGCATTTTCATTTGTGATATTTGTATGTTATGCTTAATTTTTAACTTTATACTATCCAGCTTTATGTTTTTAACTTTTATTGAAGTTTCTAAAATTTTCTGAATAGCAAAACTTTTAAGTGCTTATTCTAGTTCTGTATTTTTATTAATTTAATATTTTATTCCATAAAATAATTGGTGAATTTTTTTTGTGGTGTAATTTAATTTTTTATTATATCAAGGTATATTTCCAAATTCTTGATAACGAAACCTATCGTGTTTCTTAAAGACCTAACACTCAAAGAACACGGTAGACAAAGCCTTGGACTCTTGTTTCATTCATATGCCTGTGGCAGAATTTTTTCGGGCTTTCTGCGAGCGCCAAACTTCTCTATCATTAATAATATATTTTTCTTTAAGATAGTTTTAATTACAACAATTACTAATTTAAAGGAACACAAACGCTGTGTTTACAGAAGAAAGTATAGAATAAAAACATATAAATTTTTTTTATTGTAAAAGCAATATTTTTTTAAAAATTCAAGTATTATAAGCACTTTCTCGCATTTTGTAGATGGAAAAATGCCCTAATTATTTACTCTTTCTAATTTTGTAAATCATTACAAAATTTAAAATTCATAAATAAATTAAACTATAATAAAATAAAGTTTTTTCATAAATTAAAAATCGTAAAATCCATGTAGTAATTCCAAAATAAAGATTGGCGTCAAAATCACGCGAATAAGACTAAAATCTTTCTGCAAAAACTCTGTAACGTTCTGCGACAATGTCGCCGTGTTGCCGCAATTCTGCCACGGTTCATATGAATGTTGATTCCCTTTTTAACAACATTAGTTCTGCACTACCTCTCCATAACGCATTGAAATGCTATTTACCTATGATTTGCCCCTCTAGGCCACTTATGTTTTTCTTGTTCTGTTTTTCACTTTTTTTTTTCTCTTTCGGCTTCTATGGATTTTATAGTTTTGTTTCTTATCTTAATTTTTTCATGGCAACTTTATGTTTTATATAACAAATCAGTTTTGTTTCTTCTCATTCACGTTTGGCAAGTCTTGAAAATGGGCACCTATTTTTAAGTGCTTGAAACATGAGGACTTATTTTCTGTTTATATGTTTTTGAAGTGAATGAAGTTTTTGATCATGTAATATCTTATAGTTTTAGTTTCTTGGGATTATTTATTAAAAAAATACTTTTGAACGAAAATTTATAGTAGAGTGACTGCATTATAACTTCTAGAAAAACAAAAAGGAAAAAAAAAAAACTCTGTGTTGTTATCCGAAAGACCCTCTAAAGTATAAGTTAAACAAAACTAATACTGTTTGATCTATGTGATCACATAGCAATTTTTTAGCTCTTATACACTGTTGTGGCCAATTTTCTAAAGGAACTAGGTGTAAGGATGACAAAGTCATTAAGTATAAACCCTTACATTAGAATTACAGAGCATTATGATGAACACTTTAAAGGTTGTTTCTGGAACTTTTACATCGAATGAACAGAAGTACAATGCAGCATATGGAAACACATTAAGTGGATATGCAATTCATATAATAATCTCAGAAGTTATTAGCTTAGTCTTAGAGATAAACAGTTGGACAACAATTAAATGAATTCATAGAGACCCAAAGTTTTTTCCCCCTGATGGGTATTACAGTAAAATTAACTTATTTAAGAGTTGTTAATTTTTTTAGCAGTTAAAAATGTAGGGAATGGACTTGTGTACATTTTTCAGTTGTATTTTTTAAAAATTGGTTTCAAATTGTCTCACAAAATATATAAAGCATTCAAAATGCTGACTTTGTTTATTTTCCTGTTTATATTCTAACTCCTTTTTCTACAAAAATATAGCAAATGGCTTTAGTTTGTTTTATAATTAGTAAAAAAAAATTGTTTGGAAAAATATCTCTTGTTCAAATGGAAACTAATTAATATTCAAATAATTTATTATTCTATATTCAAATGTGGTGTTGCCCTCATTTTACTTAAATTTATAGTTTTGCTTACATTAAAATTTTGATATTAATTCCTATTTGTGAAATTTCTTGTAAATTATTGTCATTTTTTTTTTTTTTTAAAAAAAGACTATTTAGTCATTCTAATATTGTTTATTAAAATGTAATATTGCTATGTGAAATGAATTGTATACTCTATACATAACTGTTATTTTATATTGCATGTGTAATATAAGTATATATCATTGACTCTTATGATTGAAGCTTGTTGTAGTTTTGGGTTCAAATTTACTAATTGTATGATTAGTATGAAGAAAATAATAATTAAAAGTCATGATTTTTAATACAGCAATGTTCCTTATAAATATTTTGTTAAATTAATATCATAAACAATATTTATTAAAATTGTAATTTTTAAATGTTTTTTTATATGGCCCTGATTATCTGTTTTTTTTATTTTTTAAAATTTTTTTTTATTATTATCAGAGTTAATAATACAAGAAGGTTAAATTGACCCTGAAGAAAATCAGGTTATTGACAATCATATTAAGATGACTTTATCATTTTCTACTCTTCTATTATAAACAATATATAGTCTGGTACCCATTTTTTGTTTTTCAACATTGTTCATGCTCTGTGCATGTCTTTTTAAAAAAATTTTGATGAAAAATAGCATACTTTCTCTAGTTTTTAATATTTTTTACTATTGTGATTATGTATCTTTGATAAGTTTTTGTTTGGTCAAGTAATATTTGAAAAATAAAACAATTTTATTTGCTCCTTGAAAGGCCATTATGTTATTGCCAATGGTAAAAATATTTTTATTTAAATAACCGCTATCGTTTTTAAAATTTTGACATTCTCATTTTTATGTTATCATGTTTCCCAGGTTTTTTTCCGCATATTTATTTATTAAGACGAATTTAAATGCCATTTTTGCAAACAATCTCACATTTAATGAGAAAACTTGTTTTACATCGAAAATGTCTAATTAGTACAGAAACTCCAATTTAAATTGCTATTGTTATATCAAGAAAAAAGTTCTTTTTGAAAGTTTAAAATTTTTTTAAATCTGAATAGCTTTAGTTTGAATAAAATCAAATGAAAAAGTAATGAATTTTCTCTTGAAAATTTTTCACTTCCTTGTTAAATGGAAATTCGTATTTCTTTGAATAAACATTATATATTTTTTAAATGTTTAGATATAGTTTTCCTGTAAATATAATATATATATGAAAATAAATTGATATGAGCAAAATGATTAAAAATTGCTTCATATAAAATCTATCATTACCAAATTCATTTTCTGATCACTTTTAAAATAAGTAAATGTAGTAGAAATTTGTACATTAATGCATGTACATTAAAAAATTTGTACATTAAATTTGTACATTAATTATTGTACAAATTAAAGGTAGAGAAACTTTTTTTTTTTAATCTCATGAAAGACACTTTGTCTTTGTTACAATCAAAAGCATAAATGAAAATGAAGTGCTTCATATTTAGAATTTTTTTTCTGTCATCAGTGTAGACAAATTTGTATTGTATTATGATTTTATTCATTTTTGTAATATTTTCAATATAATATTTTTGTATTAAAAAACAGTTCTAGTAAAAAATATTCAGAAATCAACTCCATTGGAATTAATTATCACTTGATTTAAATTATGATTGAGATAAAAATTGAAATTGGTTGATTTTTTTTTCTTAAAAAATCAACCAATTTTTTAAAAGCCATTAATTGGCACAAACTGAATTTTTTTACAAAAAATTATTAATTTTATTATAAAAATATTTTTATACAATATAATTAATAAATAAATTTTTTTAGGGTATGATTTTTTTAAAATTTCAGTGTAAAAAAAACATTTGGTTTCAACTAGCCAACCATGACACAGGTCAAACTTATTTCTTGATGTAACAATTGTAATTTATATTGCAATTTTTGTACTAATTAGCTATTTTTGATGTAAAACAAGTTTTCTCTTTAAATGTGAGATTGTTTGCAAAAATGGCATTAAATTTATTTTAATAAACAAATATAGGGAATAATCCTTGGAAACATAACATAAAAATGAGAATAACAAAATTTGATAGCAGTTATGTAAAGAAAAATGTCTTTAGCTTTGGCAGTGACATAATGACCTGAATTTTTTTTGACCAAAAACTCAACAGAGATATATAATCTCTGACAATATTAAAAAATATATTAGAAAACTAGAGAAAATATTTTTTTCGTAAATTTTTGTTAAAAAAAGACACACATAGAGCTTGAACAATGCTGAAAAACAACAAATGAGTACCTGACAGTAGATTGTTTAACATAAAAGAGTGGAAAATGATAAAGTCATCTTAACCTGATCTTCTTTAGGGTCAATTTAACCCTGTTGTTTTATTAACTCTGATAAAAAAGACCAGAAAATTATGGCCACCTGAAAAACATTTATAAATAAATATTGTTTATGATATTAACTTAACAAGATCTTTAAGAGAAATATTGCTGTATTAAAAATCATCACATTTATTTATTATTTTCTTCATTCCAACCATGCAATTAGTAAAATTGAACCCAAAATTAGATCTAGTTTTAGTCACCAGAGTCAATGATACATTACATTCACAATATAAAATTACAGTTATAAAGATTTAATAAAATAATTTTTAACCATCTTAGTAAGAAATATATAAACTGCTTTAGTTGTAATATTGTTTTAAAATATTAAGTATTATTAAAAATTTTATTCGATGCTTTGGTTGGTAATTGCTGAAAAAATAAAACAAAAATCTGTTTTAACTAAAAAAAAAATCCTATTTGAATCAAATAAATCAGATATTTATAAAATATCATGTTTTTTACCAACCCTGGAATTCATTTGCAATATTTACATTTTATTTCACTCTATTTAATGTTGCCTTATGTTAGTAAGAAAATTGGTGGCCTCATAGTGGGCTAAGGTAGAAACCGGGGTATTTTTGTCGGTACAGAATACTTGTACCAGTTTACTTTTAAAAAAGGAAAAGGAAAACAACAAATTAACGAAGTATAATTTGCTCTACTTAAATATAATAAGGGCAAGTTTTATCTCACGAAACAAAATAAAATATACTATTTTTAATTCCGGAGTTACTTTTTTCAGAAAAAAAAAAACTTTAGCATTTTTTCCAGCAGTTGCCCATTAATTAATGGTGTACTGATTATTATTAATATAAAACAGATGATATATTAATAATAATAATAAAAAGCACTTCAAATAAAAATATTTGTTAAACATGTTAAACATATTAAAAAAAGAACTTTTTAAGTAAATATATTTCTTAACAATATGATAAATACCTGCTAAGTCTCCTGTTTTTTGATGAAGACTCCCATATTTTATGAGTGACCTCCTGTTTGCCTGTATATTCTCAAATTTCTCTGTATTTTTTGAAGAAATTAAAAAAAACATTTTTAGCGATAAAATATCCTCTTATGGCAAAAATGCTTCCATTCCTCAACAGATGGCACTTTAGCCAGTTTCGTAGTTCTTGCTTTGCTGCTACGCTGACCAAACCAGATGTATTGAGAATGCTGCTGTGAGTCGTTTATTCAGTGAATAGTTTTTTCTCTGATAACGAAAGCATTATTTACTGACGGAAATCTGGCAAAAACTTCATTTGTTTGCATTGTATTGTTACTAATTGTCAGTACAAAAATGTATTACTGTTTTTAGAATCATTCATTGTGGGTGTCAATTGGGTCACTAGAAAATTAACTGCGTAAAAAAACAGTTAAAAAACATTACGGACATTATGTCCTGTGCATTCCACATAGCAATGCCGAGTGAAAGATAATTTTCTCTAAAGTGAAAAAAAAATTCACTCCGAATTTTGCTCATCACTTTCTGATGAAAAATAATTTCTCTAGTGACTCTTATGAACTTTACTGACACTGGTTGACTTTGATAAAAATTTCCTATGCAATGCCAAATCAGCTACTTATGTTTGAAATAGGAATAAGTAAAAATTCTGTAAAATGAAGCTAATTACTTAGAATTATGAAAATTATTTTGATGTTGAGAGTTTAATAGTTTAAAATTTTTTCTCTTTAGACTAAGATTTATATGAATTTTTTTTACTGTGTTTAATATAAATGCTTATATTATTTCCAGTGTTACATTTCTATTTTTGACATACATGTTAATTGTTATTATACAATTATTATACAATTGTTAATAACAATATATATATAATAACAATTGTTATTATACATGTCTGCATAGTATGCATAGCCGTAAAAATTCAAACCTTGGTTGATCCCTGCTGTTTAAAAATTTTTCTTCGTATTCCTTCTTTGTATTCTTGAAACTATTTTTCCAAGTCAATCTGGTGTTTTCTTTTTTTGGAATGACTTTTAATGAATATTTTGATTTTAGGATGGGACCATATACAGACAATTGATTCTTTGCTCAGGAAAGGCGGCTACAAAGGTGTGATAACCAATGATGTGAGAAAATCTATCCGTCTTACACGATACCAAAGTGAGAAAATAACTGTCAGCTACAACGAGTACAAGAACTCATGGCGCTCTAGGTGCTGCTAGCAACAAGCTCACGCTAGCTCTCCAATGCCAGCTAGCGTGAGCCATCTCGGAACATCCTTCCCTTGGACCACGCCACTCCTCCCATTCAATTGGGGACTGTGGTCCCCTTACTACGGGGTGGGACCTCCAGCACCATACACGTCTGGCTTGGAATATCATCCCTCCTTCGCCTCTGGCTCCTGGTGCTGGAAGCCTTAAAACATCCAGCAGCGGTATTAAGTTGTTGCTGACCCGTGCCTCAAGTTCCATTGACATAGTTTTTCATTCTGAAGCAGCAGCGCACTGCCTATTTCCCGAGCTTACAGTGAAACTTTGCAGTCTCGTAACTAACATAAGGCTGTTGCCAGATTCCACAGCTTATGTTTTGAACAATTCCATTTTAGTTCCAACAGGAATCAGTTTAATAGTTCTAATTTTTTTAAACTCTTTTTTTTCTTCTTCTTTTAATAAAATTAAGAAGATCATGCAGTTTATTAATTTTTAATTTGATATAAAAGTCAATTTATTTATTTTAGTTTCATCTTTATTTGGTATTTAAAATTTTGCAGTCTTGTAAACTAACATAAGGCTGTTGCAAGATTCCACAGCTTTTTTTATTTGAACAATTCCATTTCGAAGTTTAATAGTTATTATTATTTCTTCATTTAATAAATTGAAGTAGTTCACGCAGTTTATTTATTTATAGTTAGATTTAAAAGTAAATTCATTCTTTATTTTAATTTGTTCATCAGCTATTTTATGTCTATTCCATTTTTAATATGTAATAGATCCATTTTACACGGTGCTAGGCTCAATAGGCAGCTTATATGTTAGTCACAAAAGTTATATTTAAAGTCTCTTGTGAGATTTGAAACTAATATAGAACTTACATTACTTACATAGACCGATAAAAAAAGTAATTGAATTTTTTAAAAGAATATTACTGCAAATGTGTGAGCTGAACTTTCCTTTAAATTAAATTACAGGCTAGTCAAGAAAGTACAAATTTAAGTAGTATTAATTTAATAACACAATTTCTTTTTAATATGACTCTTTTATAAAATCTATTTTCTTTAACATTTACTGCAAATTTTTTTTTTTTACAATTTAACTTTTTAATTTGGTATTTTGAATAAAATTAAACACTGATGACTCTAGTTTCATGATATTATTGAACTATTTTGTAAAACACAATTTTTACTATGTTTTATGTTCTGTTTCTGTTTTTAATAATTGCTTACAATTTGAAATAATGAATCTTTTTAATTTTGATCACTTTCATTTGGAATGAATTCAAAATATCTGTTAGAAATTCATATTATTCTTTCTTTTAATGTAACTTGAAATATTTTAAAAATAGACTACGTTTAAATCATTTCCAACTTTCTTAATTGTGAACATTGCATTGCAGTTTATTATTAAATAAAAATATACTTTTGTAATATGTTAGGAATTTTGATTATTGCAATGAATAAGTTCATATCAAATGAAATACTGATTGCTGCTCATTATAAGCAAAATGTTAGTGTTTTTTTTTTTAAAATTTATTTTATTTGTGATGAAATGTTGCTTTTAATGCTATTTGTTTTTCAGTGTTTAAACATATCATAATATTAGCTTTGTTTGACTTTTCTCTGTCTGGGAGAAATTATTTCAAGTCATGAAAAATGTGTTTATGACTAACTTGGCTTTTTAAAATTATAAGTATATTTCAGATAAGTGATTTTTTTTAAATTCTAAATTTTTGTCTTATTCTTCTCCCATTTTTATATGCCCTTATAAGCATATAATTGCTTAAAAGCATATAATATGCTTATAAGCATATTATATGCATCTTATAAGCATATAATTGCTTCTAACTTTTGTATCAGTAAACTCTATTCAGACCAGAGTTTTTGATCCACTATCATTTATTGCATTGAATATTAAAAGAATAATTATGATAATTAGTTTTCATCTTGAAATTCTAATCATTGTGGATTTATTCATAATAATTTAATTAAAGTAGTTATGTTTTTGTAATTTAATTTTTGTCTAGTTTATTCTGTTTGTAATTATCAAAAAAATATAATTATGGAATGTGTTATAAATACGTTTTAGAACACCGAGAAACTGAGAAAACTGATGGACTGTAGGGGAAACTTTATGAACCCCTTTGATATCCTCTGTTATGGTTATTTTTAACATTTCTTTTGGGCAATTTTTTTTTAAAAAGCTAAATCGCCAAGTTAGTTATAATATATTTCATGCTTTGTTTCTAATGTAGTTAAGTTACTTATTTAAATATTAAGAATGTATTTATTTAGTTTAATGATAGCAATTAGCCTTATAATTGTTTGATTTAAGGTATAATTCTATAAAATAATTTGAATATCCTAAATTCCTGTTCATTTTTAAAAATTAATAATATGGAAAAAGATGGCTTAAATATTCTGAACCTTATGATTGATTGCAAAATTATTTAGAGTTAATTTTTCTTTTTTTTCATAATTTTAAGTTTTTTAATTCAACATTAAGAATCTCACATTTCGTAATTTTAAGTTATGAATCAACATTTTCATAATTTTAAGTTTTTTAATTCAATGTTGCAATTTCTGCTTTTGACACTTTTTGTGATATATTCATATTTAAATTTCAAATTGCGGTTTTCCTCCACTTTAAATTTTAGAGTTTATTTTACTATTTCAGAAAAATTTGCAAAATTAACTTTCTACATAATTTACATTCTGCTAATTTTTTCTGCTCGTATACAATCTAAACATTTTTTAATTATTGTTAAATGATCATTAACTTTTACTTCAAATAAATTAATATTTTTAAGAAAACTTTCCTCTGGGTATAGTGTTTTTTTTTTAAATCAAAATTATTATCCATATTGGTCTTTCGCTCCACTAATTAATTCAAAAACATGTCAATTTATCGGAGCTGTATTTATAACCATAGTTGTAGTTAATTTGAACTTTTTGCCTTTCCTAAAAAAATAAAGAGGTTGATAGTTATTGTGTTTTTAAAATTCATCTAGTTTTTATTTTAAAATCACAATTTCATGTCATTGTGCACTTATTTATGTTTGATAAGTTTATAATTTTAAGATTATAGAATTGCTCATAAAATACAATTATAAAAATTAAATTGGAGTTAATGAGCATTCATTTTTGTTTGGTTAATTTTAAATTTAAACTTATCATTTAAGCTATTTTAATAAAGCAGTTTATTATATTTCCCTCCAATTTTTTTTAATTAAGTATGTGCAGCACCACTAATTAAATTTTCTTTAAAGAATCTCAGAGCATTGATTTCCCTTAAATTTTTTCCTGTAAATGTTTGATTAACATGTGTTATAACAACATTAATAATTCAAATTAAATGTAGAGCGACTGAAGTGCACATTTAACATATTTCTTTTTCCAATTTTTGTAAACTCTCAAAATATATCGAAACAAAATAAATTTGGATAAAATAAATGACTAATAAAATTAAATTTGAATAGACTGATAAAATATCAGTTAGTTAGGGGCTTCTTTTTCTACTTTGGAAGAAAAAAATGATTAATCAAATGAAAATTTTTAATAAAAGATATGTTTGAAGATTTGACTTTATTCAAATAGCTTATATTTTCATGCAGCCGCTAATATAATTAAGTACTTTTACTTAGTCAAGTAATGGAATTATTTTATCATAACACTGAATTATTATAACACTGACTCATATTTTTGGTCATTGTCATTACTTATAACCGAGCCATCAGTCTTTCAACTTAGAAGAGTTGAGATGTGGATATAGAATTGCATTATATATTTGCATTTTTAGATACAGATGTATAATAATTTCTGAATCACAAATCAGTATGCATTATAAATGAAATTTTGGTGGTTAGAAATTGTTTCACAATTTTAAACACTCACCAGTTCAAATTATGCAAAAAAAAAACTCTGTGCAATATTAGTATAAGATAATTACTGTTATAAGGATATCACTGATATTTAGTATAATATAATTGATATTTATTATTTTTTAAAAAATAGTTATAAATTTCTCATGTTACTCTATAAAAATATCACATTAATTTTTAGAGATGCTATTTTCTATTGACTAAATAATGAAAATATACATTAAAATATATTAAATTTTTTGAAATTTTTATGTAAAGAGTTTTCCATTTAATAGTTTTTCATTGATAGGTTTTGCCTATTCGGAGAATAAATTATTTCAAAGCCATTTGTTGTATTTTTTGTTACATTATATGTGTATAATGTATAAAATTTCACAATATGTTGTAATTTGTAAGTTGCTTTTTCTTTACATTTCTTTCATTATTACTGTTTATTTTGATCATGAGTAATAATCAATTAAATTAAAAAAATTTCTTATATTTTTATTGCTATTATTCCAGGGTCTTTTAAAGATTGCATAAGCATGTCTTTGGAACTTTTTATTTCCTCTTATCAGGAAAAATAAGCAAATTCAATTGATTTATTAACAAAGGAGAAAATCAAAATCATTTTTAGTTGAATTGGTATAGAGATTTTGGTTTTCATTATTTGTTGAATTTTTCTTACCAAATCAATTACTACTAATATTCCCCCCCTCCATATCATAAAATATTTATTTATGCAGAAACTTAAAGTAGAGATTTACATTATTTTAAATTAGGGGCCCATGTTTAGCCAAAAAGAATATCTTGAAAGTAGGAAATTCTGGGTATAAAGGACCCATACTTTCTTAAGCCTAGTAGAATCATTGATATATGTATTATTAATTGGTGATTTCTAGACGAGGATATTTTAATGTTATGAAAAACAGTTTCTAATTTTTTTTTTACTATATTTATTTGGATGAAACTTTAGTTTTTATTGTTTTTTTTTTGAAGGGCCAAAGTTTGATTGTGTAGAGAGTGTTATATTTGAAGAATCATTAGCAACATCATCGGTTTTTTACACTTTTTTAACCAGACTTCTCATTCTTATTTTGCTTAACATTAATCGAAGTATAAAAGAGGAGGAGACTAATCTAAATTCTTTTTTTTTTTCCTTTAAAAAAGTAAATATGGTGAAAAACTGCGAATTCTTTTCCCTAATTATTTTGAAACCTTACCTTATTAACTTTCTTGCTATACCTGTCTGTGAAAAAGTGAAATCATTAAAAGTCTTCCCTTCAGGTGCTTATGCAAGTTTTAGAATGTCCCTTTATATCATAATATTATAATTAAAAAATATTACATTTTTCGGAAAAAGTAACAGAAATATTTAACACATATGTTTAAACTTCATTTATTTAGTTTTGCATCTATCTCTTATTGCATAGGATGTTATGGTTGCCCGATAAGTGTGTTTAAGACACAAAAGTTGATTATATTAATTGTTCTTTATTATCCACCATAATTGCATTAATAATCTTGGTATGAGGTGTCAGTTAAAATGAAATACAAAGGAGAAATAATTCGAAAAAAAAAATAGTTATGAGTGTGATTGCTGACTGTCAAAGAACAATGCAAGTACTCATTAAATATCAAATATTGATTTTAAATTTCTATTTTGACTAAGGAATCAATCCGCTTAAATTTTAATTAAAAGTATTGTAGTGGTTTTTAATTAAATATAAAGAAATTCATGCCTTCCAGAAAGCAAAGTATTCTGGGTAAATGTTTCTGGATCTGCTTTAGAAAGGACATTGTAAATGGAAAAAAAGAAGGGTGTTTCAGTGGTGGTAAATGTTTCTGGATCGGCTTTAAATGAAGATCTTGCAAGTGAAAAAAAAAGAGGAAGTTTTAAAATGCTACGAAATCTTGTGGTGTTAGTCTACGTGTGAGGTATTTTGAATAAGACTAACAAAGCTGTTTGTTAACGAGAAAGAGATAAACAGTATCTCAATCAGTTTTTCACTCTTAATAGTTATATTCTGCCACTTTTATTTTTATCAGTTTTTTTTGTTGTATTTTTTGTACAGTAGAGAACCGATTATCTAGCTGGATGAGACTTATCTGAATGGGTTCTGAATATAGTTTTTCTAGTTTTCAGTATCAGCAAATTTTTTTTTCATTTACTGATCAATCAAGAATGATATTTCATTCAAGATAATATCTTTATATTAACAAGAAAAATAGCTCTAAATTGCATTTTGTGATATTGATCATGCTAGAAGGAATTATTTAAAATCTGAAAACAATAGGCAAAGTATACAGTTGTTGTATTTTTCGATTTTGCATTGCTATTCAATTATAAATATATAATCAAAGCAAAAATAATTAAGGAATTGTTTGGTAAGAAAATAGTAGTTTCTGCGATATAATCGATTATGAAAATTTCTTGATCACAAAAAACATTGGATTTTAAGTATAGGCCATTCTGAAAGTATTCCAAAAATCATTCTACGATAAGTTAACCATCAGGTTTTCTGGATAAAAGGTTCTTTACTTTAAAAAATACATTGAATTAACATTTTTTCTCAAATGTGAAGTGGCACTTTAAATTTTTTTTGTGTTTAAAATGTTTGAGTTATTTCTCCTAAGAAAATTAGGTGCAATTCAATTCATTTTAGCTGTTTTCTTCCTTCTAACTTGTCGTGTGTGATGATATACATAATATTAAAAAGTTTCATTTTATATATACTTATATATGTTTTGACTTTCATTTATTTTATTTTGAAGTGTATAACTGTTGTAAAAGTTATACACAGTGTTATATATATAGTTATACATTTTACAATGTTCTGTCTCAAATAATACTAATTAAGGTGAATATTTCTAAGACTTAATGAATATGGTTTGAGAAGAATCCAAGATTCATGGATTTTTTTCTCAGAGATGTTGAGAATGTTAATGTTGTCACTAGGTTGTGACAAAAAATTATGTATTTCAGAAATTTCATTTGGCTCTCTTGTATTTCAGCTACTTTCATGATTTTAACGAAGAATAAATGTTAAAAAACGTTTTATATCTCTAATTTACTAGATAAACCTTAAATGCCTCACTTTTCATCTTTATAAAGAAATGAAATTATAAATACATTCATCTTTAATTACATATTTTAATGAAATGAATTACATTATAGTTTTAAAAGAACAGAAAAATTTTTATGAAAATTAAAATGGTAAAGACTGAGTCATATTATTTATTTTATATTCAAATTATTTTAAATTACTTATTAAAAGTAACTAAAATTATTCCCTTGAAAGGAATATTAATAAAGATATCTATCCTAGGAATATTTGATTGCATCAATTTCAGTTTAAATAGTGAGTGAAAAAAAATTAATTATGCCCAAACCACTGCCTCTATCAAAACATCAGTAAATGGTTGCGTATACACCCCCCCCCCAATTTAATGTTTTTTTTTCTTACTAAAAAGTTGAAAATATATCATATCTAGTTTTTCTTTTTTTTTGAAAATAAAATCGGTTAATAATCTTATTTTAACCCAGTCAGCGTTATGAAGAAAGAATGTCCAGTGACTTAATCTAGTGTAAAGCATCAGGACTGGAGAATTTTTTTTACCCCTAAACTTGACTGAAATGGTTATGAATGGACCTGCCCAGTGATAGTTAGGAAGAAAAGAGTCAGTGCTCGAATACTTTTGTTTCTTTGAAAAAAGGTAAAACTTTTAGTTCATTTTCTAAAAGAGAGATGCAAACGGACCTGTCCAGTCATAGTTGGGAAGAAAATAGTCAGTGCTTGAATATGTCAGTTTCTTCTTTGAAAAAGGGAAAACTTTTAGTTCATTTTCTAAAAGAGAGATGCAACACTGAATCGTTTTTGATAGACCTTCTTAAGTCAATAACTCCGAAACTGTGGTATTTTAAGGAGCCACTGCTCCATATCTTAAGCACAGTGACTTATTACATATTAAAAATTGCTATTTTCTTATTATTTTGTTCTGTTCTAATTAAGATTTTGTTAATAAATCGTCGCCTATTAAAGCTAGGGTACCAATCGTTCAAGTTATCGTTACAAATCCTACGTCATGAAATATTTTATTCATATAAATTAAAATACAGGATAATACTCTTAAAACAGAATTTGATTATTTTTGCTCTCTCTCGTAAAACTAATCACATTAAAATTTGTTAAATTTTTTTAAAACTTTTTTTTTAAACTTTTTTTTTTTGAGTTCGAAGACATATTTAAAATTGTGATTTGTAACAAACATGTAGTTAAAGGAAAAGGTATTCAGACGAACACAGAAAAGGTACTAAAAGATTTTCTTTAGTGTTTTTAAAAGAAAAAAAAAATTGTCAGAAAGAGGCATTTAAGGGTTTATAACTAACAAGATTTATTTTTTAACTTTATATTTTTTTTCCTAGAATGCTTTTACTTTTTGATCTCATAAATTCATTAATTGTTTTATAAGCATCATTTAAATTTTTCCATTGAACAGTTGCTGTTATTTTTAACACATATGTCAGTTGTGATAATCATTTACAAATTGACAGAAGTTCTAATGCTAAAAGAGATTGATGTTGAAATTTTAATGAACTGTAAAGACTTGATTTTGTAAATACACATGAAAAAGCTGTTGTTTGATAGTGTTTAGAAAAAAGAAAACTTGGAGTAATCTTAAAAAAAAAAGGAAAAAAAAAGAAGATATATTATGCTAGTTGTTTGTTGCAACCTTTTATTATGTGTACTGTTTTGCAGTCAAAATGCTGCAATGTAATCCTATATTAAACTTAGATATTTCATGTAGTGTTTGCAACTTTATGTTTATCACAAAATGGCGAACAAATTTGTGATTCCAAGGCGTTACAGTTTTTGCAATTTGCAATTTTAAATGAAATCTTCCAAGTTTATTTGCCTGAGTTGTTAGTTCATGTAATATTTCTTTAGAGTGATTAATAGAAATAATTTTGTAATGCTTAGTTGTATTTTTTCCTATTTTATCCAATTATTATTTAATTGACTTCATGTTTTTTCTTTAAAAAACAAGTAGGAAATTTTGCTAGTGTTTTGTTGAATGCTGATGTTTTAAATTTAGATGTGATATTATGTGCAATTGTGTAATGTTTATAATGTTATTTGAAAGTATGTATTTTACGATACACTTGCTTTTGTAAGTTTTTATGCTTTTCCACTTCGTAGATTTGTGGGCTAATATTTTATCACAAATTTTTGCTTTAAATTTTGATATCAGATATTATTATACAATTAAAATTAAATTGGCAGTATTTAGAGATTAGTGGTTTTATTTTCCTGAGCCAATCTGGTTGAAAATTCAAAATATTTGTAGATCATACAGCTGAGGTTTTCACTGGAGAAAAAAAAAAATTGAAATTATGCCAATAGATGGTGCTGTCACAAAATTATAAGAAAGATAACTGAATATTTTATTTATTTACACATCTGTGCACTCTATGTGCAATAGTGTACCTGTGGATGTATCCTTTAGCGGTAGACGTCATCTATTGGTAAAATTTTAAAAGATTTTTTCCAAATGGTATGGTTGGTTGATTCTAATGCCACTTGCCACACGGGCAAGCCTGCTTGGTGAAACCGAGCAAATTTAAGGCAAAGTGTGGTATTCTTGTTTTTCAGTCGCACCATCTATGGCCAAGAATTCGACTTCGCCGCACCGTACGTCACACCTGTTTATAAGGCGGACTCCGAATGGTATAATTTTGACTACATGGTAACATTTCATAGATTTGAAGTTTTATTCGAATCACTTCAATAGAGCTGGAGCTACGAGCCTCTAAATACCGCCAGTTTAATTTTAATAACACTCCAAAGGAATAATAAAAAAAAAGAAAACAATATTTATTTAAGAATTTTTAAATTTGTTTTTTTAATAAAGATACGCTGTTATTATTATAACAAGGGCTGGTATATAAAATTATATTATGTAATGTGATATAAATTTTGTTTTATTTGAAGAATATATTGTTTAAAAAAATTGCTATCTAATGCCATTGTCCAATCGTTAAATAATTTTATTTGAATTAGTTCATCTGTACAAATTTCTTCGACTAAAACATAACTGTTTCAGGTGATAGAATTTGTTCAGAACAGTGTATAATTAAGTGTAGTATATAATAACTATAACCATTTATAATTAAAAGAATTTTCATCTACTCTAAATGAGGGGCTTGGTAATAAATTGGTTTTTGAGTCCTTTCTTATATATAGGTGGTAAAAAGTGTGGGGGAAAAAAAACTAGGCAAACTTACTGGCTTTTTAAATTTATTGCTCAACAGCAAGTTTTGAATCTGATTTTCTTTGTATGCTAAGAATATTAATTATGAGTTGGAAGGGCATATGCTCTTCCAACTTATAATTAATATTCTATGCTGACACTTAAATAAATTTCTTGGACTCAAAAGTATCTAATATGTATAACATCTTTTTTGAATTTGTAGGCTTGTTAAATTAAATACATAGCTTTCGTTTTGTTATAAGCTTCTATATTCCATTACCTTAAAAGCTATTTTTTCCAAAACTGACAAAAAAAGAAAAATCTTTGCCAACATAATATCTCAGCGAGTGTTACATTAATGGCATAAATAGCTGCTATTAATAATAATTTGTAAGTTAAGTTAATAACCATTTTAGTATAAAAACGTCAGTTTGGGTTTTAAATTAAGTCTTAGATTTGTAACTAAAGCACTCTACTATTAATGTCATGAATGGGGTTTTTGTATTTACCTCAGTGTGTTCTTATAAAGAAATTTAATAGATTTTTCATAAAGTATTTTTGCATTGTTAACAATCATCTTTTAGATTAGTCTTAATTATGATTGACTCAAAGTGTTGACTAAATAGTAAGTTACACAAGTTTACAGGCTTTACATTTTAGCACACTGAGCAAAAAATAAAAAGATATCTCTCTAAATAACTTTTGATTTAATGATCATGTTTTCATACATTAAATGTCGAAATTTATTGTTCAAAAAAGTTTATATACTAATTAATTGCTCTTAGCTATTAATTAAGTTAAATTGGACAAAAAACGTTCTTTCTCTCAATAAACATATTCTTTTTCGCAGATTTGGATTTTTGGCAGTTAAAATATGGGGGGTGGGGGGTAGTTACAATCTGGAAAATCTCAAAATTAGTCTGGAGAGGGAGCGGGGCGGGGACCTTCACTGTTTATTTAACTTTTTTACGTATTTCACCATATCACTGGAATTTTTTAAACTAATTAAAAACCTTTTTCTCGTGATTTTGTTACTCCTTTATCCAAAAATAATTCCATGCAAAAAAAAAATAAATAAATTATATTGTTTGCCGTTTTTACGGTATGTTATTTTATTTAACAATGATTGAAAAAAATTTGAATAGATAAATATTTGCATCATTTTAAACTATGTAATTTTAAATGACAAAATTGGAATGAAATCGGCCAAATATTTTCTGAGTTTTAAAATTTATAAAAAAAAAAAAAGTTACATTTTGAGATTATAGTTCTTGCAAAATGAAATTAATTTTATTAGAGCTAACAATAGGGTTGTACCTATTCTTTCTGTATAGGTTTGAAATTTTAAAACAATGAATAACTACAATTGATTATTTAGCCTTAACTATAATTATTGTAATATTTATGTGATTTATACTGATTGTTTTTACTTAATTATTTTGTTGTAATATTTTTTTTCGAAATTAAACAGTCGATAAATATTTAGTACTCATAAAATGCTAATAAAGGAATGATTCATTAGTTTCGCTTTGACCGTCAACACAATTATTTTTGTTAATATTGTCGAACGCTTTCTTTTATGTCTCTTTTTTTTAGAATAAACTATTAATAAAAAGTAGCAAGTTCTCCTATGCATAATTTCTAATTGTTCTTTGGCTAATTTTTTAATAGAACAAATTTTGAATGGTGGCAAAATACTGCATAGGATCACAGTGTATTTTATTCTAATTTCACAAGAAATTAGAATAATGTGTAACAAGTTTTCATTTAGAATTAAACTTGGAAGAAAAACCTATTATTTTGTTGTTTCATAATATTAGTGTACAAAGAAAAAAGAAATACATTTTATGATGCACAATGTTTGTTTATAATTGTATAAGGAAAGTCAACAAGTCTAGAGTCTCATTTCCGTCTTCACAATCGAAGTTAAATGGCGAGTATTTAGATGTGCTTGTAAACTACTCATTCAATGATTTTTCAGAAAGATATCTGTATGTGGTGATCAATATTCAGAATATTGTACTTAAATGGTTTGGGTTTTCGCTGTGGTATACTTTTTACTGTGCCTTAGTGGAGTTTTTAATTTAACTGTAATTTGTTTGATAATAAAGACAGAAGTGTAAAATTTACAGTGATTATACAAAAATAAATTTGGTTCTTTGTACAGTTTTGTCTGTTATTATTTTTTATTGAAAAGTGTTATTTCTGTTCCCTGATGATGCAGTTTAAGTTGAAGAGCTTGCAAACAAGGAAGTGTTATGAAGTGTGTTTTATAGATTTTTTATTACATTTTAGGTCAGGAAAATAGTATATAAAATTTATTTTCTCTACTTTGAAGTAATTATTTTATAAATATTAATAAACATTACAAGTTTTGTCTTTAATATGTCGCCAAGTTATGTCTGACAGGCGAAGTTTTCATTGTTAACTGTAACAGGTTGCATTAATTTAAGACTTATTCTCATTTATTGGAATATTTTATGTTTACGTGAAGGCTAAAACTATAAGAATAATTATAAATCAGAATAAAAAGTCAATTTTTAGCAACTAATTCTAAAATTCCTGCACAGCTGTAAATTTTACAAGGTTTTTTTTAAATTATTTTTTTATTATAACAATTAGTTTGCCAAATTCGAACTCAAACAAGAAATCGTTTGAAATAATTATAATTTTTTTTAAAAGTATCTTAAAAGTAATTCTTCCAACTTTGTTCTTTATCGCAAGTTTTGCGATTCTTTATAAAAAATTTTTTTTGCCCCAACTAATATTTTCAATAAGTTATATCTCCGGAACTCAAACAAAGTAGATAAAATTTAATTTTTAATATTTCATAATTAAAAAGAAAATTATTAGAAAATTCAGCTTTACTTACCAGTGGCACTTATGTTAGTGAAAGGAAAAAGTTACGCTTTTGAAAAAAAAAGGGATTTTTCAGGGTCTTTTATTCTAGGGATTTGATCTAACTTATTTTTATTTAATAAACAACCACTATTGGTAGTTATTACCCCACTAGTGGGATAATATCGGGTGATTTGACTTTTTCTAGAAAAAATAACATATGAAAAAGTATCGCATCTATGATTTTTCAAGAATGACATATTGTACACAACTATCTTGATCAAATTTGACAGTTGAGTTCAGCTTTTATAAGCCTTCGAATCTTAGCTACCTGGTCGAACTCCACTTTCCTCTACTACATGACAATCTTAGAGTGTTTTCAAAGTGAAGGCAAGTTCCAAGTGCCTTTGGCAAAAGTCTACGATTAACCTTAGACGCTATGAGTAGGTACGTTATAAAGCGAACAATTTAAATGTGCGTGAAGGATTTAAAGATCGCCAATTAGAAGATTACGGAGATGAAATAAAGAAATCTGATGCATATAAACTTTAAACGCAATTTACTCGAATTTAATAAAATGTTATTTAGAACCTTTAATTACCTAACTATTTTCGTAGTAACAAGAGGAATATAGTATGCTCAAATTACAATTAGTGAGGATCAATAATTTTATGGGATTTAAATTTTCAACAATGGAACAGGGTTGCCACTCCACAGGGAAAACTTGGAAAATACAGGGAATTTAAAATCACCTTAAATAACAGGGAATTTTGATTTTTCTTTACAAGCTGGGAAAATACAGGGAATTTTGTTTCTTATTTTTGTCTTTTAAAAAATGGTGACCACTCAAAGCGTTATCTATGCGATGTACAAAATTCTAAGAATTCAAAACAATCATTCAAATCCATATAAAAACTTTTTTTTATAACAAAATTACATCTTTTAAGCAAATACTAAGTTATTAAAATAAATTTGAATTCAAATAAATGATATGTAATTCGTTAAAGCTATTAGAAATGTGGCATAGTATAATTCGTGATATAAATCAAAAATCGTCAAATAAATTCGTAATATATAAATTCGTGAAAAAAAGCACTTTCGACAAAATACTGAAATAGAGATATATAGACAAAGACTATTCACTTCTGCCTAGCTTAATGGAATGAGATTGCCGCAGCTGATGCTCTCTGGTTATTTCAGTTTCCGTTTTTAAAAGCGCTATATGTTGAGCTACCTCAGCTAGATTTGGCATGTGGCATTTTTAGCGGCAATCATTGGTCGATTTGTCGTGTAATAGAAATAGTAACGTAAACAAAACAAAGCAAGCGTTGCCACCGGCGGAAAAGAAATACAGCCAAAATTTGGGAGCCACGTAAGAGAATTATATATATTAGATGTTCGAGCAATTAAAACTAATAAATATAGTTAGTCCAATATAGCTCACACAAGAGCACAGTAATTGTTGTTTCCTCTTAATATATTGTGTAAAATATGTACAGGGAAAACACTGGGAATTATTTTTCCAGATTTGAGTGGCAATCCCGTGGAATTACGGAAAGCTTTTGAAAGCTGCTGAAAAATTATTTGTTATTAACTTTTTAATATTTTAATGACCAATAGCTTTTGGAAAATTTGTGACCTTACTTTACTTGACTCTTTTGTAATTTGAAGACAAACGCATACTTTTTGCAATTGGACAAACCTCTAAATCGCACAGAAAATAAATTTAAAGCAATCATTCTGAATAACTTACTTCAAAAAAATTAATAAAAAATCCATTGTTAAAGACTGACATACATGGTCACACCATGGTTTATTTGTAAAAAGTATCTTATGCATGCTTCAATTTGCGTTTTAGCATTACTATGCAAAGCACTATGGAAAATTTGAGAGATTTTGCACAATATCTGTCCGTTAACTTCTTCCTTCCACTTAACTAGATAAAGCCTGCTCAAGCACCACAAGTAATTGACGCATGTGCAGTGATGATCAAGGTAAATTGAAATTAGAAGTAAAACTGTTTCAAGCCAATTATTAGGTAAGAAATTCAAAAGATATCTACCAAATTGCACATTCCTCAAATATTACTGATTTTGGACAAAGTTTAACTCTTTAAAAATTTACAAAAAATATTTTTTGACATATATAAGCACTTTAGAAAAAAATGGAGCCTATTGTTTGATGAAAAACCATGACATTTACAGTGAAAAGTTTTCGGAGCTTCAGTATTCAAAAAAGTATGCAAAAGCTAGACGTTAAGAACGTATCCAATGAGCGAGCATTGGATTGCGAAGCAATCCGAAATGAACTGCGAAAGCAATTCCGAGGGTTGGCGAGCGCCAGCGAGCAGTGGGCGAAGCCTCCTAGTAACTTAAAATAACTCACAAAACAATTTATAACTTTTCTTAAGAAAATAATTGTGTATCAAATTAGTTTTTGAGAATTAAATGAATTATTTCTCACGATAAAATATTTTCCCTGCCATAAAGATTTAAGAGAAGAAATATTTTGCAATATTGTGTGCAAATTAGTAAAATATATAGATAAAAAATAGTTTCATGCTAAAATGTTTCTCGTTTTTAGTTTACAGTCAGTTTAGATTTTAAAGACTCATTAGACTAAAGTCATTAGACTCAGTACCGTCTTTATACATGGGCGCACTCGGGCGATGCTCGGGGGCCACAAGAAACTCAGGACGCCTGTGAGAATCTTACTTTTCATGAATTGTATTTAAAAAAAAGTTAAGAATAAATAAAATTACCTTATATATTTTTTAAAATAAATATATTCTATTGTATAAAGTGTGCATTTTTTTTTTATATAAATAGTGATTCATTATCGTGCAAACACCAATAATTTGAATCCAATGAAAATTTTAGGTACTTGGGCATTGAAAGATGTTTCAATAACTGTTTAGTTTGATAAAATAATTTATACCTTTTAATTTTTGTTATTTCATATACCTTTATGTTTATTTACCTAAATTATTTTAATTAACTGACATGATGGTTTTGAAAATTATTTTATTATTTGAGGATTATAACTGGTTAGTATAAATTTTTTTAAAAAAAATTCTGCATAGTTTAAAAATGCTTTTTTTGGGTCAACCAAAATGTGTTTGAATTAGTTAAAATTATTGCATCATATCTTAAAAATTATTTATTTTATATACGTCAAGTTTTTTAGTTCGTTTTTAAACATTATGGCATGTTATGAGGGTCTAAAACATTTTTGTGCCCGGGGGCCCTGCATGCTATTAAAACTGCTCTGATTAGACTTCTTGCTTTTCAATAATTTTCTATACTTTTACAAAAATTGTTGGAGAGTAGAAAAATATTGGAGAGCAATATCAGGGGTGTAACGTAGCAGGCCACCTCGTGGTGCACCCTGTGTAACGAACCACAATCTGCTGTAGCTCTCTGCCGAGCTTTCCGAGCTTTCTTTTGAGATTTAAATAATTATTAAACTTTACTAAGTCAAGAGTGTTTGCGAAACACAAGATACTTCATTGAAGACATTTTCTTTCTAACATTTTATTTAAATAGTCGAATAAATTTCACCCCTTCAGAAAATTGATTAAGTAGAAAAAGGACCAAACAATTGTTTTATAAGATTTTACTCCTCCTGAAATAAATTGATAAAAAAAGAAAAAAAAAAAAAGAAAACGCCGTTCTATTATCGACGCTAATGATACTTAATTAATTTTAGTAATATATACTATTTAAAATAAAAAAGTAAACTATGTACTTAAATCAAAATTGGTGGAAAAATATTACTAATATGTTCAGGAGAAATGTAAAAAAATCGCCATACTATTATCGACTCGAATCACTCTTAATTAATTTTAGTAATGTATATACTATTTAAAATAAAATAAGTAAACTATGTACTAAAATCAAAATTGGTGGAGAAATATTACTAATATGTTCAGGAGGAATGTAAAAAAATCGCCATACTATTATCGGCGCTAATCACTCTTAATTAATTTTAGTAATGTATACTAATTAAAATAAAAAAGTAAACTATGTACTAAAATCAAAATTGGTGGAGAAATATTACTAATATGTTCAGGAGAAATGTAAAAAAATCGCCATACCATTATCGACGCGAATCACTCTTAATTAATTTTAGTAATATATACTAATTAAAATAAAAAATAAGCTATGTACTAATCAGAAATCGAAATTAATGGAGAAAAATTTTAAATTCGTTCAGTAGAAATGTTAAAAAAATCGCCACACCTTATATTGATGCCAATGATGTTGAATTAATTTTAGTAATCGGCACTACAGGCATTATGATAATTGGCGCAGTTTTAATCGGAACCA